CAGGTGTACACTACCACTGACACTTACAGGTGTACACTACCACCTACACTTACAGGTGTACACTACCACCTACACTTACAGGTGTACACTACCACTGACACTTACAGGTGCACAGTACCACCTACACTTACAGGTGTACACTACCACCGACACTTACAGGTGTACACTACCACCCACACATACAGGTGTACACTACCACCTACACTTACAGGTGTACACTACCACCTACACTTACAGGTGTACACTACCACCCACACTTACAGGTGTACACTACCACCCACACATACAGGTGTACACTACCACCTACACTTACAGGTGTACACTACCACCTACACTTACAGGTGTACACTACCACTGACACTTACAGGTGCACAGTACCACCTACACTTACAGGTGTACACCACCACTGACACTTACAGGTGTACACTACCACCCACACTTACAGGTGTACACTGACACTGACACTTACAGGTGTACACTACCACCTACACTTACAGGTGTACACTACCACTGACACTTACAGGTGTACACTACCACTGACACTTACAGGTGTACACTACCACCTACACTTACAGGTGTACACTACCACTGACACTTACAGGTGTACACTACCACTGACACTTACAGGTGTAAACTACCACTGACACTTACAGGTGTACACTACCACCTACACTTACAGGTGTACACTACCACCTACATTTACAGGTGTACACTACCACTGACACTTACAGGTGTACACTACCACTGACACTTACAGGTGTACACTACCACTGACACTTACAGGTGTACACTACCACCTACACTTACAGGTGTACACTACTACCTACACTTACAGGTGTACACTACCACTGACACTTACAGGTGTACACTACCACCTACACTTACAGGTGTACACTGACACTGACACTTACAGGTGTACACTACCACCCACACTTACAGGTGCACACTACCACCTACACTTACAGGTGTACACTACCACTGACACTTACAGGTGTACACTACCACCTACACTTACAGGTGTACACTACCACCTACACTTACAGGTGTACACTACCACCCACACTTACAGGTGTACACTACCACCTACACTTACAGGTGTACACTACCACCTACACTTACAGGTGTACACTACCACTGACACTTACAGGTGTACACTACCACCTACACTTACAGGTGTACACTACCACCTACACTTACAGGTGTACACTACCACCCACACTTACAGGTGTACACTACCACCTACACTTACAGGTGCACACTACCACCTACACTTACAGGTGTACACTACCACTGACATTTACAGGTGTACACTACCACCTACACTTACAGGTGTACACTACCACCTACACTTACAGGTGTACACTACCACCTACACTTACAGGTGTACACTACCACCTACACTTACAGGTGTACACTACCACCTACACTTACAGGTGTACACTACCACCCACACTTACAGGTGTACACTACCACCTACACTTACAGGTGTACACTACCACCTACACTTACAGGTGTACACTACCACTGACACTTACAGGTGTACACTACCACCTACACTTACAGGTGTACACTACCACCTACACTTACAGGTGTACACTACCACCCACACTTACAGGTGTACACTACCACCTACACTTACAGGTGCACACTACCACCTACACTTACAGGTGTACACTACCACTGACATTTACAGGTGTACACTACCACCTACACTTACAGGTGTACACTACCACCTACACTTACAGGTGTACACTACCACCCACACTTACAGGTGTACACTACCACCCACACATACAGGTGTACACTACCACCTACACTTACAGGTGTACACTACCACCTACACTTACAGGTGTACACTACCACTGACACTTACAGGTGCACAGTACCACCTACACTTACAGGTGTACACCACCACTGACACTTACAGGTGTACACTACCACCCACACTTACAGGTGTACACTGACACTGACACTTACAGGTGTACACTACCACCTACACTTACAGGTGTACACTACCACTGACACTTACAGGTGTACACTACCTCTGACACTTACAGGTGTACACTACCACCTACACTTACAGGTGTACACTACCACTGACACTTACAGGTGTACACTACCACTGACACTTACAGGTGTAAACTACCACTGACACTTACAGGTGTACACTACCACCTACACTTACAGGTGTACACTACCACCTACATTTACAGGTGTACACTACCACTGACACTTACAGGTGTACACTACCACTGACACTTACAGGTGTACACTACCACTGACACTTACAGGTGTACACTACCACCTACACTTACAGGTGTACACTACCACCTACACTTACAGGTGTACACTACCACTGACACTTACAGGTGTACACTACCACCTACACTTACAGGTGTACACTGACACTGACACTTACAGGTGTACACTACCACCCACACTTACAGGTGTACACTACCACCTACACTTACAGGTGCACACTACCACCTACATTTACAGGTGTACACTACCACTGACACTTACAGGTGTACACTACCACTGACACTTACAGGTGTACACTACCACTGACACTTACAGGTGCACACTACCACCTACACTTACAGGTGTACACTACCACTGACATTTACAGGTGTACACTACCACCTACACTTACAGGTGTACACTACCACCTACACTTACAGGTGTACACTACCACCTACACTTACAGGTGTACACTACCACCTACACTTACAGGTGTACACTACCACTGACACCTACAGGTGTACACTACCACTGACACTTACAGGTGTACACTACCACTGACACTTACAGGTGTACACTACTACCTACATTTACAGGTGTACACTACCACCCACACTTACAGGTGTACACTGACACTGACACTTACAGGTGTACACTACCACCTACACTTACAGGTGTACACTACCACTGACACTTACAGGTGTACACTACCACCTACACTTACAGGTGTACACTACCACCTACACTTACAGGTGTACACTACCACTGACACTTACAGGTGCACAGTACCACCTACACTTACAGGTGTACACTACCACCGACACTTACAGGTGTACACTACCACCCACACATACAGGTGTACACTACCACCTACACTTACAGGTGTACACTACCACCTACACTTACAGGTGTACACTACCACCCACACTTACAGGTGTACACTACCACCCACACATACAGGTGTACACTACCACCTACACTTACAGGTGTACACTACCACCTACACTTACAGGTGTACACTACCACTGACACTTACAGGTGCACAGTACCACCTACACTTACAGGTGTACACCACCACTGACACTTACAGGTGTACACTACCACCCACACTTACAGGTGTACACTGACACTGACACTTACAGGTGTACACTACCACCTACACTTACAGGTGTACACTACCACTGACACTTACAGGTGTACACTACCACTGACACTTACAGGTGTACACTACCACCTACACTTACAGGTGTACACTACCATTGACACTTACAGGTGTACACTACCACTGACACTTACAGGTGTAAACTACCACTGACACTTACAGGTGTACACTACCACCTACACTTACAGGTGTACACTACCACCTACATTTACAGGTGTACACTACCACTGACACTTACAGGTGTACACTACCACTGACACTTACAGGTGTACACTACCACTGACACTTACAGGTGTACACTACCACCTACACTTACAGGTGTACACTACCACCTACACTTACAGGTGTACACTACCACTGACACTTACAGGTGTACACTACCACCTACACTTACAGGTGTACACTGACACTGACACTTACAGGTGTACACTACCACCCACACTTACAGGTGTACACTACCACCTACACTTACAGGTGCACACTACCACCTACACTTACAGGTGTACACTACCACTGACACTTACAGGTGTACACTACCACCTACACTTACAGGTGTACACTACCACCTACACTTACAGGTGTACACTACCACCCACACTTACAGGTGTACACTACCACCTACACTTACAGGTGCACACTACCACCTACACTTACAGGTGTACACTACCACTGACATTTACAGGTGTACACTACCACCTACACTTACAGGTGTACACTACCACCTACACTTACAGGTGTACACTACCACCTACACTTACAGGTGTACACTACCACCTACACTTACAGGTGTACACTACCACTGACACCTACAGGTGTACACTACCACTGACACTTACAGGTGTACACTACCACTGACACTTACAGGTGTACACTACCACCTACACTTACAGGTGTACACTGCCATCTACACTTACAGGTGTCCACTACCACCTACATTTACATTTGTAAACTACCACCTACACTTACAGTTGACACTACCACCTACACTTACAGGTGTACACTACCACCTACATTTACATTTGTAAACTACCACCTACACTTACAGTTGACACTACCACCTACACTTACAGGTGTACACCACCACTGACACTTACAGGTGTACACTACCACCTACACTTACAGGTGTACACTACCACCTACACTTACAGGTGTCCACTACCGCCTACACTTACAGGTGTACACTACCACTGACACTTACAGGTGTACACTACCACCTACACTTACAGGTGTACACTACCACTGACACTTACAGGTGTACACTACCACTGACACTTACAGGTGTACACTACCACCTACACTTACAGGTGTACACTACCACCTACACTTACAGGTGTACACTACCATCTACACTTACAGGTGTACACTACCACCTACACTTACAGGTGTACACTACCACCTACACTTACAGGTGTACACCACCACCTACACTTACAGGTGTACACTACCACCTACACTTACAGGTGTACACTACCACTGACACTTACAGGTGTACACTACCACTGACACTTACAGGTGTACACTACCACTGACACTTACAGGTGGTACTGACTATATAGATGATGATGTTGTGCACTGACGTAGATGTTGTATGTTGCAGCTGACGTGCCACACCGTCCAATCCTGCTTCGGCTTCACAGATCGCCCGAACGACTTCATTGAACCTCAACTGTCCCCCGTGGAGGTGCAGAGGGGCGTCAACCTACAGTAAGTCCTCCAAGTAGACACAATGTATGGATAACAACTTCTTTAATTACTGCAAATGCGATGTTTCGGTATTGATCTTTATACCGTTGTCAAGCAAGGCTGACGGTGCAGAATATATAGTTGGAGGACAAATTCATTTATAGTAAGTCCTGCCCAAATATACATCGTTGCCGTGGAATATGTGTGTACGTACATAAGGGTGCGTTGCAAAGCGTCATACAGACGGCCTCACTGCCCAGTGTGACGTCATACAGACGGCCTCACTGCTCAGAATGACGTCATACAGACGGCCTCACTGCCCAGTTTGACGTCATACAGACGGCCTCAATGCCCAGTGTGACGTCATACAGACGGCCTCACTGCCCAGTGTGACGTCATACAGACGGCCTCAATGCCCAGTGTGACGTCATACAGACGGCCTCACTGCCCAGTTTGACGTCATACAGACGGCCTCACTACCCAGTGTGACGTCATACAGACGGCCTCACTGCCCAGTTTGACGTCATACAGACGGCCTCACTGCCCAGTTTGACGTCATACAGACGGCCTCAATGCCCAGTGTGACGTCATACAGACGGCCTCACTGCCCAGTGTGACGTCATACAGACGGCCTCACTACCCAGTATGACGTCATACAGACGGCCTCATTGGCCAGTACGACGTCATACAGACGGCCTCACTGCCCAGTGTGAAGTCATACGGACGCGCTCTGACTGCTCAGTGTGACGTTACGGTTAATGTCCAACTGTGTCAAGGACATCTAGTGCCGTTGTGCGTTGTGCTGATACCCGTGTGGAAGTAAGTAGCAGGTCAAGTTAGCTAACACACAGACAAACACTGTTAGCCTAACACACAGACAAACACAGTCAGCCTAACACACAGACAGATAGAGTTAGCCTAACACACAGACAGATAGAGTTAGCCTAACACACAGACCAACACAGTTAGCCCACCATGCAGACAGAGTTAGCCTAGCTACGCAGATTCATACAGTTTGCACGTCGGTTTTTCGATTCTTACCTCAATAAACCGAACAAATTACTAAGTCAATCCTTAACACAATGTAGCATTTTCCCCTATTTTGAGTTATCCTTTTGTCTATTCGTCACACACATTTGCTAAACATTTTCAGATTGTGGATGAGAAGAGAATCGTAGGAGGAATTACGGTATTAAAAATAGAAAGATTGCAATGAATTGATAAATTCAACAGAAATAGTCAAAGTTTCCGTCCTGCGTGACGCCATGACTGACGCACAACGTCAACAGTATTTATCGGAATTTCTGACTATTTCTCTTGGTTTCAATGAAAAATATAACAACAAATAACAGTAGACAGATTGCCAGAATGTTTCTGATTACTTACATGTCACATTTATGTAAATAAAATCCCGGAATCAACGAAAGTCCCCTCGTAAATTCCCACGTACTGTTGTCAGTGAACAATTGTTTATATATTCAAGAATTTATTTACATTGTAAAAGCAGTCATTTCATGTTGTGTCGAAAAGGCGTCAAACTCCGTTATATACATACTATCGAGATTTTCCATACCATGAGCGAAGTGTAGGAGATATATATATCAATCAAAATACCAGTGTCATCCTTCTCCGACGTTGTCAATGCCATAAAACCAGCCATGATGAAAAGGCTAGTGCTCCAATAATAATGGTGCAACAGTAGTCAAATTACACTTACACAATCAGGGGAATGTTGGAATCTAAGGACTAAGTTAAAGGTTAGATAGGGCCATCCATTTCGCTTTCACTTTCTCTATTATGAACCACTTTATGGGTTTATTTATAACTAAACGTATAGTTTCAATATCAATATTTGTGTTGGAATAGTGTGCCTCCTCGTGAACAAATCAACACGAAAATATAATGTCCTTATCCACAGCGAATTGCTTTCTAGTGACCAGAGTTACAATAAACTAGTGCTAAGTATAGCGGAGTTATGGCCCTTGTCTTTGTACGTGTGTACACCTCTGTCGTCTTTTGACGTCATAGACGAAAATCCGTTTTCGTCATTTACGGCAGCCTATTTTTTGTATTGAATGTATAACGTTATACATAAGCATATAAATTCATTTGTTATATATTTATGGCTTTCGGGTATAAGGCTGTATTTTGTTCGCTCACAGTTTCTGTAAAACAGCAAACAAATTTAAAATGTCGCACAGTACTTTTATCGGTGTACGATAAAAAGCGGCGAAATGTGCTGTTTTTCAACGCAGAATAAATTCTCGGACAACACTCAGAAGTGTCTTGTTTTCAAACCGATTTAATATTTGCATATACATTTACATCATCAGATAGGAAATTTAATATTCTAATCTCTGGTATTGCCGTGAGTACACTCAAGGTAATGTGAATACACCGTGGGTATTGCCGTGAGTACACCCTCTTCTCCTTCCCTCCCTCACTTCCTCTGTCCTTCTCTCTCTCCCTCTTCTTCCCACCCTACATTCCACCCTCGCGTCGTTTGTGCAACTGTCTCCCCCCCCCCCCCTCTCTCCCTCTCAATCCCTCCCTCTCTCTCACCCTCCCACCCTCGCGTCGTTTGTGCAACTCTGTCAACCCCCTCCCATCCCCCCACCCCCAACCACAATCCCTCCCTCCCCATCCTACCTTCGCGTGGTTTGCGCAACTCCGTAATTACCGACGACTCCAATGTGGCCATAGTGTGCTCGGTGTGCCTGCCATACGTTACGCTCTGTGCGTCGTCATTAGCGTCAGGTTAAACAAATATTGTCAATCACGTTTGCCACCGATAGAAGTGATTGCCTGTTTAGGTTATCATTAATGTCAGACTGCAGGAGAGCTGTCAGTAGGATTACCTGGTGTGTGAGTGTTCGAGTCCAGACGGGGCACCACTGCGGAGCGGACCAATAATCAAATCACAATACCCGCCAGCCACGGGGCTGGGATAGCTAGAGCTACGGACGGACACGCAGATTGAAATACAATCACACTGACGGACGGACACGCAGATTGAAATACAATAACACTGACGGACGGACACGCAGATTGAAATACAATAGCACTGACGGACGGACACGCAGATTGAAATACAATCACACTGACGGACGGACACGCAGATTGAAATACAATAGCACTGACGGACGGACACGCAGATTGAAATACAATCACACTGACGGACGGACACGCAGATTGAAATACAATCACACTGACGGACGGACACGCAGATTGAAATACAATCACACTGACGGACGGACACGCAGATTGAAATACAATAACACTGACGGACGGACACGCAGATTGAAATACAATAGCACTGACGGACGGACACGCAGATTGAAATACAATCACACTGACGGACGGACACGCAGATTGAAATACAATCGCACTGACGGACGGACACGCAGATTGAAATACAATAACACTGACGGACGGACACGCAGATTGAAATACAATAGCACTGACGGACGGACACGCAGATTGAAATACAATAACACTGACGGACGGACACGCAGATTGAAATACAATAGCACTGACGGACGGACACGCAGATTGAAATACAATCACACTGACGGACGGACACGCAGATTGAAATACAATCACACTGACGGACGGACACGCAGATTGAAATATACTAGCCACATAAAGAAACTGTGCACGGAGAAAATATAGATATAAGGGCACACCGTCCATATATGAAATATAGGTTTGAACACAGCAATTATTGGAGACATTCAAACGCTCATGCACGTGCCATGCGATATGACGTCATTGATGGAGGCCTATGGATGTGCAATGTGTTACTGCACGTGCTTCCTGTGCAGCTGTACACAGCATGTGCAACTCAAAATTCGTTGTCACTTTGGAAAGCATGATCTGTGGTCATTCAAAAACTCAAAACTTCTCAGGCGCAGACACAAGCAATCACAAATCATGCCAAGATTGACAGCTGCACAGCGCCATGAAGCCATTGGAATGATCCGAGCGGGAATGAGGCAACAACAGGTGGCAACACATTTCCAATGCCATCGTAACACGATATCGGCATTGGTGAGGCGTTATCAGAACACAAATGACGTTGCCGACCACCCACGTTCAGGACCCCCCCGAGTAACGACGCCAAGACAGGACAGATGGATTCGAGTTACACATCTCCGACACAGGATCCAAACGGCAGTAACGACGTCCCAGACAATTCCTGGACTGCGCCGTATCCATCCCAACACTGTCAGGAATCGTTTACGTCAGTACGGGATTCGACCACGACGCCCTGCCATACGTCCCATCCTGACACACCGTCATCGAGTCAACCGTCTAAGATGGTGTCGAAATCATGTTCGCCAACCTCGAATATGGTGGAGAAATGTTGTCTTTACAGATGAATCGAGGTTCAACATTTCCCACAGTGACGGGCGCCAACGTGTCTACCGGCGTTTGGGAGAACGTTATGCACGCAACTGTATTGTGGGGAGGAATCGTTTTGGAGGTGGCTCATCTGGGATGAAATGGAGCGCCGTCTGCGTCGTCTTCCACATCCTCCAGATAACGTCCGTGACTTGGCACAGGATTTGAGGAGGATATGGCAGGCCATTCCCCAGGCCTTCCATGCCCATTTGGTGGACTCCATGCGTCGCCGATGCACTGCTGTGATTCACGCACAGGGTGGTCATACCCGTTATTGACTTTGTGACTTTGTCGTTTGCCCCCCCCCCCCCCCCCCCCCCCTCCATTTTGATCTTCTGACGTCATCGTAACAGATGTTGTTCAGGTCCCGTTGACATTTTCTTATGGTCCGATCATTCAGCTGCTACAGCGTCTGCATCATTTTGTTCTTGCTGTGTTGTATTTCAATCCAGAATATATTTTCTCCGTGCACAGTTTCTTTATGTGGCTAGTATACAATAACACTAGTATACAATAACACAGATTGAAATACATTCAATCTGACGGATGAAGTCGCAGATTGAAATACAAATAAGAACTAACGGACGGACACGCAGATTGAAATACAGTAATACTGATGGACAAAGTCGCAGATTCAAATACAACAAACTATCGGATGGACGGGGATACACTGAAAGAAAATCTGCTCAGATGATGACATGATCATTGAAGAATTCTGCCACTCAAAACGCGTAAAGGACCCCCGTAAATAGAAGACCGTGTCTTGCTATACCCACCCAACCACCATGACAGATTAACTATAGTCACGTGACAATAATCAGCTGTGTATGAACATGAGGTCAAGGTCACTATCATCATATGGAGACTGCAAAACCTCCCAGTGAGTAAGGTTTTACGCCGCTTTTAGCAATTTTCCATCAATATCACGGCGGGGGACACCACAAATGAGCTTCACACATTGTACCCATATCGGGAATTGAACCCGGGTCTTCGGCGTGACGAGCGAACGCTTTAACCCCTAGGCTACCCGACCGCCCCTGCAAAACCTCCCAAGACACACTGGTAACCAGTTTGAACAAAATCACGTTGATGTTATGCAAATAACGTGCTTAACACAATAGCTTGCGGACATGCGGAAAGAGCCAAAACGAATGTACTCTGCATTGCGCATGCTCGACAGCTCCGTCCCAAATGGTCAGGTAAGTCACGTGTCCAGATTGACGGCAGTGGATGAAAGGAAACGATGGCGGATGTTACATCAAAAATATACTCAATATAAAATGACATTTCCTGTTTCAAAAAAATAATAACAAGGATGGGTGTGATCTGGACATATATATAGAACATTAATAATCACTTTCTGATAGGGCCACTTTCGGTGCCCCCATTGTCGCACGTCTGAGGCACGTCCCGCCTGTTCGCCAGTAGTGCCTGGACATAACCATTGGTTGTTATCTTGTATTATTCCGACAAAGATTATCTCAGGAACATCCATTATTCATAACACAATTTCCATTGTATCCAGATTCGCCCCGAGCCAGTATGACGGCCTCAACTTCCCAATTCTGCCTTTCAAAGTGGACGAGACGTCGTTCCGCACGTGCAACAAGAGCCACGGGGCGCCCGTGCTGCACGAGGAGAGCAATCAGACATTTGCAATCCCAACCGAGCTACTTCCGGTGGGAGTGCATTATTTCATTGGTAAGACCGCCCAAGATTGCCCCAAGCGATTTCAAGAAATACGTATCCACTGACTTTAGACATACGTGTATGTGGGCACCTGTTAGCAGTGTGTAGGTTCTGATTGCTATATGGCGAGATAATTTGAGATTGTCTACGATGAGGACTGAAATATAAAAAAGAATCTAAACTCCCATGTACCTTGATGTAATAACACCTAGCTCACAGTGCCCACGTGCCAGCTTCCAATACAGAAACTTAAACAATAACAATAACAACAATAATCTCCGAAAAGTTCTGGGTGGGTTCGACCAGGCAGCGCTTCCTGGGAGAAGTCCCATTCGCTGTCTGGGCTGCGTGTAGAGGGGACAAGGTCCCAGAGCTAATGATGAGCCCGACCAGTCTGACTGTGCCATAATCACCCAAAACCCCTTTGCTGCATTTTTGTATTTTGATCTGTAAATAATAACAATAATAATTAAAGCTGCAAGCAGCAATGGCGGGCTCCAAGTAACACTGTGCCCAAACGTCCATGTTCGAATCCTCAAAGGGTTTCCTTGAACCAAATCAGTCAAATGTAGTCACCACTTGCAGGGTATTGTCGCAAGGAAATTGGCGTGTGCCAGGGTGTCCACGTCTGTTCTAAAACCATTTCCGACCTCGAACATGTTCGAATCCATAAAGGGTTTGCTTGTACCAACTCTGTCAAAAGATGTCACCGGAAATCGCCGCTACGAAATTGATCAAATATTACCACCAAGCGGTGTTATTTTTAGCATACAACTAAAAACAATAAATGAGATGCATATGGCACACTAACTTCATGTAAACTTGCAATAGTTTCTGTAGAGAACCTTACAAGATATGATCTTTAAAACAAAATTTCGTTGAAAAAAATGATCAAAATCAAAATTCAATACGGCCGTAACTAAACATGAATTCCAAAATCGTCTATTTAAGTTTGATGTGTTATGCATGGAGACGATTATCAGAAAGTTTGAAAGCATTTCATGCAGTGGACTCGGAGTTGTTTGCGTTTAAAGACAGGTACCCAAAAAACACTGTTGAAACCTTGAATCCAAAATGGCTGCCAAACCACGTGACCAATGACCAAAGTCGAAGAACAAAAAATGAGGTACATATAGCACACTAACTTCATGTAAAACTATCAATAGTTTCTGTGGAGAACTTTACAAGATATGATATTTATAGTAAAATTTCGATGACAAAAAATGATCAAAATCAAAATCCAATCTGGCCGCAACTATAAAAGATATCCAAAATCGGCTATTAACATTTACTGTGTTATGTGTGGAGACCATTCTCAGAAAGTTTGAAAGCATTTCATGCAGTGGACTCAAAGTTGTTTGCATTTGAAGACACGTACCCAAAAAACACTGTGAAAACCTTGAATCCAATATGGCTGCCAAACCACGTGACCAATGACCAAAGTCAAAGAACAAAAAATGTCAAGCAGCTCAAGCAGCAGATGCATGCAAGGTTTCAAAGTAATCGGATAAGTGGTTGCGGAGCAATAGGGTGGAATACATCTTCAAAATATTGTGTTCTTTTAATTATCTGCCCTTGGCCTTTGGGCCTACAGCCTTGGGTTTTTGGCGGGCACTAGTACCCACCGGTCCACATACACACACAAAACTTGAACAAAATCGAGCCAGTGGTTATTTTTCTAGCTCTGGTACAAAAATCAGCGGAATAATAATAATATTAAATCAATCGCTAACACTGGGACTCTTCAGCCTTTCGGCTTGGTTACTCTTTAACAGGCCGTAACTTCTTTGTCAGTTGGGCTCCAGTCAAACGGATTAGCGTTCTGCGTTCGTCGGGGCCCCAGGTTCCTGTCGCATTGCTGAGATAAAGTGCTAAACCTGTTTCCCACCTCGTTCATATATTCGAATCCTCGAAGGGTTTACCTGTACCAACGCCGTCAAATGTCAAAGACCTCTTGTGAGACATCACCACTACTAAAATGACCTGGGTGTCCCAGGATGTTTTAACCAATTTCCAACTTCGACAATGTTCGAATCCTCAAATGGTTTGTTTGTACCAACGCCATCAAATGTAAGGAACCACTTGCAAGACATCACCACACGTGTCCCAGTGTGTTCTTAACCCATGTTTGACTTCGACCATGTTCGAATCCCCAAATGGTCTGGTTGTACCAACGTCGTCAAATGTAATGAACCGCTTGTGAGACATCACCACATGTGTCCCAGTGTGTTCTTAACCCATGTTTGACTTCGACCATGTTTGAATCCCCAAATGGTTTGGTTGTACCAACGTCGTCAAATGTAATGAACCGCTTGTGAGACATCACCACATGTGTCCCAGTGTGTTCTTAACCCATGTTTGACTTCGACCATGTTTGAATCCTCAAATGGTTTGGTTGTACCAACGTCGTCAAATGTAATGAACCGCTTGTGAGACATCACCACATGTGTCCCAGTGTGTTCTTAACCCATGTTTGACTTCGACCATGTTTGAATCCTCAAATGGTTTGGTTGTACCAACGTCGTCAAATGTAATGAACCGCTTGTGAGACATCACCACATGTGTCCCAGTGTGTTCTTAACCCATGTTTGACTTCGACCATGTTCGAATCCCCAAATGGTTTGGTTGTACCAACGTCGTCAAATGTAATGAACCGCTTGTGAGACATCACCACATGTGTCCCAGTGTGTTCTTAACCCATGTTTGACTTCGACCATGTTCGAATCCGCATATAGTTTGCTTGTACCAACTCCGTCAAAAGATAGTCACCGTTTGCAGGACATTACCGCTACCAAATTTGCGTGTGCCACAGTTTCCCAGAGTCTACTTAACCAATTTCCGACCTCGACCATATTCTAATCCGCAAATGGTTTGCTTTAAACAACGCCGTCAAAAATAAGGTACTGTAGCAATTGGCAATTGAGAAATTAATCAAGCCAGCGAGACTGACCACCCAATCCGATTAGTCGCCTGCTGTGACAAGCAAAGTTGCCTCTTGAGACAAGCATCGGTTGAAAAAGGCCAATTCTAATCCTGGTCGTCAAGGGTAGTACACATAATACAGAACAAGACTGTGGAGAACGCTTGGATATATGCAAAGCCAGTGAATGGGGGTGTATGGTAGATTTATGAGACGCTTCCTTCAGTATTTGTACTCAAGTCTGATTTTTTTACTTAAATCAAATAATACCACACCAAGCAGTGGTGCTTTCAGTATGCAACCCAGCACAAAATGAGCTACATATAGTCTCAAAACTTCATGCAAACTTTCAATAGTTTCTGTTAAGAACCTTACAAGCTATGATCTTAAAGGTAAAATTTCGGTGAAAAAAATGGTAAAAATCAAAATCAAATATGGCCGCAACTACAAAAGATATCCAAAAACGGCTATGGCTATTTGTTGTGTTCTGTATGGAGACAATTCTCAGAAAGTTTGAAAGCTTTTCATGCAGTGGATTCAGAGGAGATAGTATTTGAAGACAGGTACCCAAAACACCCTGTGAAAACCTTGAATCCAATATGGATGCCAAACCACGTGACCAATGACCAAAGTCAAAGAACAAAAAATGTCAAGCAGCTCAAGTCTCAGATACATGCAAGGTTTCAAAGTAAACGGATAAACGGTTGTGGAGCAACAGGGCAAAATATATCTTCAAAAAATACTTGTTTTTCAGTAATCTGCCCTTGGCCTTTGGGCCTACGGCCTTGGGTTTTTGGCGGGCACTAGTACCCAACGGTCTACAAACACACACAAAATTTGAACAAAATCGAGCCAGTGGTTATTTTGCTAGGGCAGGTACAAAAATCGGCGGAATAATAAATAATAATAATAATAATAATAATAAATAATAATAATAATAATAATAAATCGAACGATTACAATAGGGCTCTACAGCCTTTCGGCTTGGAGCCCTAATAATAATAATAATGATAATAATAATAATAATAATGATAATAATAATAATAACAATAACAAGCAAACAAACAAACTAAGATGTCGTTACCGAGATGTTGTTACTGATGTGTCGCTACCCGATGTTGTTACAGTTGACATGGATGACGACCCTCTGATCCGCTGTGAGTTCGGTCTCCGCCTAAACGTCACTGTGAAGGACAACAATTGTCACCATGGAGACGGCCCATCATGTGAAGGTCAAGGCTTCTGTGTCACGAGGAAGGGGGAGGTAATTATTACTGACGTACAGGATTGTACAGTATTCACAATCTACGAAGGGAAACAATATCATTCACATTTAATTGTATGTTTTGGCAAACGTTAAAAATATGCCCAACACGCCTGTGTTTGCGATCTGCTGTTGGGCAAGACGTAAGTGTGTTAGACTAACATCTCGTCTCTGAAATGAACATATCGTACAGAAAAAAACAGTTGTTGAAATATCTTAATAAAAGTATAATGAAAGGGAGCCAGGAGACTCTCTTCATTTTCCTGATACTGCAGTAATCTAGACTTGCCAAACATTATAGACTTGCATGGGCTATATTTGATATCTTTGTATCAGGGTCTGTAAGTCAGACTATAAGTGTGTGTCCAGTAAGGTGTACTGGCTCGCCCCGACTATCTGCAGTAGGGGGGTGACCGTGTGTCCATCACGCGTGCTCAGCCTCATTCGTCATCATGACAGGGATGAAGACTCCTGCATCATTTTAAAGACGCCTTAAGTGTTTGCGTTATTATTTATCTGTCATATGAAGTCTCGCGATCAATGTATTGCTTGAGAAGAGACATGGTAATGTGAGTCCAGGCAGACCAGTTTGATACGACGTGACGTCAATCATGTGAAGCTGATGCTATGTGCGATGGCGTCCGGCGGTACGTGTAGCCAGGACCGCATGATGGACGTCTCAGGGACAGCACACAACTGGCCACAGACGTCAACTCCAGGCGCGAGGCGACTGAATGGAGTGGCTGTCAGACTTGGAGACTTCCCCGACAGCGCGCATCGTTGCTACTAATATGAATCACAGGATTGTCTGGTCCAGACTCACTAATCTAGAGATCTCCGTCGTGAAGTTGGAACATTACTGGGTGCTACATGAAACAACAAACACACACATAACTCCACATCCTGCAGTGTGATGGACACATCTCCGACAAAAAAGAACAGTCTGAAGTCCGATGTTAACTCCATTCTCTGTTGTGGCATGGACACCACTCCAACCATATAAAACTGCCCAAAGTACTCACGCTGAGGTTAGAGTGTAGACGTGGGTTGTACGATGAAGTGCGAGTCATGGTAACTGAGGCTGGAGTGTAGACGTGGGTTGTACGATGCAGTGAGAGTCATGGTAACTGAGGCTGGAGTGTAGACGTGGGATGTACGATGTAATGAGAGTCATGGTAACTGAGGCTGGAGTGTAGACGTGGGTTGTACGATGCAGTGAGAGTCATGGTAACTGAGGCTGGAGTGTAGACGTGGGATGTACGATGCAGTGAGAGTCATGGTAACTGAGGCTGGAGTGTAGACGTGGGATGTACGATGTAATGAGAGTCATGGTGACTGAGGCTGGAGTGTAGACGTGGGATGTACGGTGAAGTGAGAGTCATGGTGAGGTTAGGGTGCATGCAGACGTTGGTTGTACGATGAAGTGAGAGTCATGGTAACTGAGGCTGGAGTGTAGACGTGGGATGTACGATGCAGTGAGAGTCATGGTGACTGAGGCTGGAGTGTAGACGTGGGATGTACGGTGCAGTGAGAGTCATGGTGACTGAGGCTGGAGTGTAGACGTGGGATGTACGATGCATTGAGAGTCATGGTAACTGAGGCTGGAGTGTAGACGTGGGATGTACGATGTAATGAGAGTCATGGTGACTGAGGCTGGAGTGTAGACGTGGGATGTACGGTGCAGTGAGAGTCATGGTGACTGAGGCTGGAGTGTAGACGTGGGATGTACGGTGCAGTGAGAGTCATGGTGACTGAGGCTGGAGTGTAGACGTGGGATGTACGATGCATTGAGAGTCATGGTAACTGAGGCTGGAGTGTAGACGTGGGATGTACGATGAAGTGAGAGTCATGGTGACTGAGGCTGGAGTGTAGACGTTGGTTGTACGATGCAGTGAGAGTCATGGTGAGGTTAGAGTGTTGACGTGGGATGTACGGTGAAGTAAGAGTCATGGTGAGGTTAGGGTGCAGACGTTGGTTGTACGATGCAGTGAGAGTCAAGGTGAGGTTAGGGTGCAGACGTTGGTTGTATGATGAAGTGCGATTCAGGGTGACTGAGGTTAGGGTGCAGACGTTGGTTGTATGATGAAGTGCGAGTCAGGGTGACTGAGGTTTGGGTGCAGACGTTGGTTGTACGATGCAGTGAGAGTCATGGTGAGGTTAGGGTGTAGACGTTGGTTGTACGATGCAGTGAGAGTCATGGTGAGGTTAGAGTCAGGCGGTGGTTGTATGATGAAGTGCGAGTCAGGGTGACTGAGGTTTGGGTGCAGACGTTGGTTGTACGATGCAGTGAGAGTCATGGTGAGGTTAGGGTGCAGACGTTGGTTGTATGATGAAGTGCGAGTCAAGGTGACTGAGGTTGGGGTGCAGACGTTGGTTGTACGATGCAGTGAGAGTCATGGTGAGGTTAGGGTTTAGACGTTGGTTGTACGATGCAGTGAGAGTCATGGTGACTGAGGTTTGGGTGCAGACGTTGGTTGTACGATGCAGTGAGAGTCATGGTGAGGTTAGGGTTTAGACGTTGGTTGTACGATGCAGTGAGAGTCATGGTGACTGAGGTTGGGGTGCAGACGGGGGATGTACGATGCTGTAGAACTAGGTTTTCGCACAAAAAGTCATGATCCTTTAAACAAACATAGTCAGGGCCACGATACCTGTTGATTCCCGTCTGGACCTCGGTAATTCTCACCCAGCGCACCTGCCGGTCTTCCCGCCAACCCTACAAGTGCGACCGTGCACTCTGATTACATTCCGTCAGCCCTACAAGTGCGACCGTGCACCCTGATTACATTCCGTCAGCCCACGCCGACCAGACAGACCCACAGTGATTGACAGAAAATTACAACTTGTAATTAGATGTTATTCTGAGGCAATATGTAGGAAGCGCCGTCTGTGGTCCCCTGTCTGTAATAACAGTCAAGCCTGAAATATGCCCGTTGATCTAGACTGACATACGTGGACATTAGTCGACTTGGACATTACTGCATTCACCCATCGGGGATTCCGGGTTGGACGTTGTCCTCCGCAGCCTCTGCTGGTCTTGAGAGGCGACGAAATGGATCGGGGACTTGCGTGCCATCATACCCCGACGGTTCGCTGCTCGCAATGTCAATCACTCGACTCAGAACTGGAGTTAATGTGTGACTGTATGCAGTTCTACATTGTAGGGGAGATGTCCACACTGCGGCTTTAAACAACAAACAAACACATTGCATTATTACATTGGTGCATAAGCACCTCTTTACATTGTTATACTGTATGGACTACCAACACCCTGTCACTAGGGATGTGTACAAGTCTGCCTGGACAACCAACACCCTGTGATGAGGGCTGTGTACAAGTCTGCCTGGACAACCAACACCCTGTGATGAGGGCTGTGTACAAGTCTGCCTGGACAACCAACACCCTGTGATGAGGGCTGTGTACAAGTCTGTCTGGACAATCAACACCCTGTGATGAGGGCTGTGTACAAGTCTGTCTGGACAATCAACACCCTGTGATCAAGGCTATGTTAAAGTCTGTCTGGACAATCAACACCCTGTGATGAGGGTTGTGTACAAGTCTGTCTGGACAATCAACACCCTGTGATGAGGGCTGTGTACAAGTCTGTCTGGACAACCAACACCCTGTGATGAGGGCTCTGTACAAGTCTGTCTGGACAATCAACACCCTGTGATGAGGGCTGTGTACAAGTCTGTCTGGACAATCAACACCCTGTGATGAGGGCTGTGTACAAGTCTGTCTGGACAATCAACACCCTGTGATCAGGGTTGTGTACAAGTCTGTCTGGACAATCAACACCCTGTGATCAGGGTTATATACAAGTCTGTCTGGACAATCAACACCCTGTGATGAGGGTTGTGTACAAGTCTGTCTGGACAATCAACACCCTGTGATCAAGGCTATGTTAAAGTCTGCCTGGACAACCAACACCCTGTGATCAGGGCTCTGTACAAGTCCGGACACTTATGACATAAATACTCGGCTGTTGTTGGACATGCTAACATTACCGTCCCCCACACAACATCATCAAATGTAGATACCAGTAATCGTTGTCGTTTACACCATCAGGCGACGTAGCCCTCGGTCTTACTAATAATTCTTGACCTGATATGTCTGTTCCGAGCCTACGATCAAGTCAATAATTATTAGGTTTTCTTCTGGGAGGGTAGATTTTCATCTGCTTCAGTATCAAATTTTTATCTCTAGGGATTGTTTAATGTACGTATTTACCTCGCCGACGATAAATGGCAATATCTTATTTGATCTGTAGGACTTACATGATGATATCGAGACAATGTAGAGACTGGCTACAACTGTAGAGAATGGTCCTGAAAGACGTGCCGATTTTTCAATAATAGAAAAATCATGATTAATATTTATGGATAAACATCAAACACAAACACACAATAAACAATAAACATAACAGACACAAACACAATAAATACAGCAAACAGACATACATAATAATAAACACAATAAAAACCACAAGCGCAAACACAATAAACAAGAAACACAATAAACACAATAAACAAGAAACACAATAAACAACGAACAAAATAAGCACATAAAACACAACAAGCACAATAAACACAACAAACATAATAAACACAATAAACAACACACATAATACACACAATAATACAATAAACAACAAACACAATATTCAACGAGAATCGAGTGCTTTCTCCGACTTGAGCCATGTTTTTCAGTCTGTTTCTGTATCAGTGTACATTGTGGCCTGTGGTTACGCGTGTTCTACATGTTTGAGGCTTGTTCAGAATGCCCATTGAATCCCTGATTGAACTGCAACAGCAATATCGTGACGTCATCAGTATGGTTTAATTACAGGCCAACTTCACCTGCTCCTGCTGCGGCAACTTCCGGGGCGACTACTGCGACGAGTACGACTCCTGCCTGAGTGAACCATGCTACGGTGGCGGTCAGTGCAAACACAAAAACAACGACAAGCGGGGCTTCCAGTGTAGCTGCAGACTCGGTAAGACCTGTACAGCGTTCGTGTGTTTGGTTGGTTGTTTGGTTGGTTGGTTGTTTGTTTGTTCGTTGTTGAAAGCCACACTCAGCAATATTCCTGTTATATGCCGTCGTAGAATGTTCAGCTATATCTGAGATCGTCACAGCGATCTTATATACACTTATCTGAAATACCTGGACTCTATCTATGTACCTTAAATCAGATTGTATGTATGCATGAGCATCGATCTACACATTTGGAATACGCATGACACGCATCAAGCAAGTCAGCGAGCCTGACCGCCCAGTCCCGTTAGCCGCCTCTTACGACAAGCATAGTCACCTTTTACGGCATGAATGGGTTGCTGAAGACCTACTCTACCCCTGATCTTCGCGCGTGAGATCAGTTAATATAATCCCCATGTGCCGATCCCGGGTTCGTGCGCGTCCTTCTACTGCTTGTCTTGGCGACTGTTTGGCCCGGTGGTCCTAACTTGGATGGTGACGTGACGTCATCGGACGTTGAGGCGCTACTTATAACCTCCGCCACCTGTTGCTCATGGCCACACTCTGTTATATACGGACCGCCGACATGTGTCTGAAAATTGATCCGGCTGTTTGTTAATTAAATATTAGGTAGCTAAGTTGAAACAGGGCTATTGCAAGTGTGGTCTTGCTTTGGTGTAAATATTTACGTTAACGATCAAGATGGCGCTCAATGACGCCCGCTGCCAATATTATAGCTATGTAACACTTGATACCATGTATAGTCAGGGTGAAATGAGGTGCCCCCCCCATCCCACCCACACACACACACGACCTACACAGATGGGTCCTGACTGAACACATTAAATGCTCGTCCTCAATGTCGTTCTGATGTATCAGAATCCTAGCAGTGGTTCTGGATGCAGTTGGACAGAAGCGTAAAAGCCCTTATCACAATCGACATTTCTAAGACATTTCTCCTGAAATCCGAGCCTATGCCAAGGGCTACAATTCGTCGTGTCGTCCTACTTAAGACTGGCAATAGAATAATGCATTAGATTGGATGCAGTTCGCAGGATTCAGATGACTCTGCTTGAATCAAATAGCATCCTTGATTAGATGAGAACGTTACCAAACTGTATTTGGTTTGAAAGTAAGATGTCATCATTGCGTTGTTGTTGGGACAGGATACCGGGGCGATCTGTGCGAGGAAAGGGTTGACGATCTCTGTGACCTTGACCTTTGTAAAAATAACGGCACGTGTAACGGGAATGCAACGCACTTCACGTGCACGTGTCTCCCTGGTTACACGGGGTCTCACTGCGAGGTGGACGTCAACGAGTGCGCGGACGACCCCTGCGAACATGGCGGCATGTGCGTGGACAGAATAGCCGGATATGAGTGTTACTGTGTTCCAGGTGAGCTAACGTATATATTTGGTTAAATAGCTAAGCATTCAACAGCTATTCCCTGTACGTGTGTGTACAGCTTCGCCTTAGAGCAGCAATAAAAGAAAGAAATGGCTAGCTTAGCCAGCTCCTTTTCCGAGTACAGAAAGCTAAACACACCACCACTAGTTCCGCACCAAATTTCACTTGCTTGAAAATATCTTAGGTCACATTCAGCATCAGTCATCATGTTGAAAAAAACACCACTAAATACAGAAAAAAACATGTTTTAGTTTCTAGATGGATGAACATTTCAAAAATATAAAAATCATCATCCAATCACAACAATGATTCAATCTGCACTGAAGGCTCCACGAAAACTGCTTGTTGAACGACTGATTCTGATTTGGTGTAGTAGAACCTCCAGACACGCAGACAGACACGCAGACAGACGCACATAGCTACATACACGCAGACGGACACGCCGGGTCACAGACGTAAGATGTGCAACCCTTAAAATGAACATATATTTAAAAAAGAATGTTCTTTATTTCAAAAAAAATATAAATACATTATTATTCCAGCCAGATTTGGAACTGGTTGGCAATCTGTATAGGCTAAGAGAGACGACATTAAATCAGTGAGGTCTGTGTAGATTCATGTTGTTGGGGCGTGTGTGAAGATACTGTTGTAACTATTCCTGCCCCTTCACAGGCTACCACGGCGCCGACTGTGAGAAGAAATACGACGAGTGCCTCCACAACCCCTGCCTCCACAACGGCGCATGCGCCAGCCTCATCGACAGCTACAAGTGTCACTGTCCGCCTGGATATAGTGGTCGTATCTGTGAAACTAAGGTCAGTGTCGTCGTATCTGTAAAACCTAGGTCATATCGGTGCCGTCATATCTGTAAAACCAAGGTCATATCGGTGCCATCATATCTGTAAAACCAAGGTCATATCGGTGCCGTCATATCTGCAAAACCAAGGTCAGTGTCGTCACATCTGTAAAACCGAGGTCATATCGGTGCCATCATATCTGTAAAACCAAGGCCAGTGCCGTCATATCTGTAAAGCCAAGGCCAGTGCCGTCATATCTGTAAAACCAAGGCCAGTGCCGTCATATCTGCAAAACCAAGGTCATGTTGGTGCCGTCATATCTGTAAAACCAAGGTCATATCGGTGCCGTCATATCTGTAAAATCAAGGTCATGTTGGTGCCGTCATATCTGTAAAACCAAGGTCATATCGGTGCCGTCATATCTGTAAAACCAAGGTCATATCGGTGCCGTCATAACTGTAAAGCCAAGGCCAATGCCGTCATATCTGTAAAACCAAGGCCATTGCCGTCATATCTCTAAAGCCAAGGTCATGTTGGTACCGTCATATCTGTGAAACCAGATCTCTGAGTGTTGTGTGTTTCCTACTGTTCGTTCCTGGGTCGAATCGTGAGCAAATCCCAGGTCTCGTCTGGCCGGCGTTGTGAACTGTTTTGTGTGGACGTGTGTTCAACACCAGACCTTGTGCAGTACACCGTGGTATTACAAGACATCATTCACATTGAGGATTGATTGTATTACTTGGGTGGTCAATATAATGTTACTCACTTGGGTCCAGTCTGTTTTATTTACACCAATGCGTTTTTGAAGATATTTTCGCTTGAATGCTGTTTCTGTTGCTGTCGCAAATGTGTACCATGTCGCATACCCTGAAAACAGCAGACTTGACTCCTTGCGAGCAACAACCTGCATCGGTCACTGTAGCAGACTTGACTCCTTGCGAGCAACAACCTGCATCGGTCACTGTAGCAGACTTGACTACTTGCGAGCAACAACCTGCATTGGTCACTGTAGCAGACTTGCGGGGACCAACCTGCACTGGTCACTGTAGCATACTTGCGAGCAACAACCTGCACTGGTCACTGTAGCAGACTTGCGGGGACCAACCTGCACTGGTCACTGTAGCATACTTGCGAGCAACAACCTGCACTGGTCACTGTAGCAGACTTGCGAGCAACAACCTGCACTGGTCACTGTAGCAGACTTGCAAGCAACAACCTGCACTGGTGACTGTAGCAGACTTGCAAGCAACAACCTGCACTGGTTACTGTAGCAGACGTGCGAGCAACAACCTGCACTGGTCACTGTAGCAGACTTGCAAGCAACAACCTGCACTGGTCACTGTAGCAGACTTGCGAGCAACAACCTGCACTGGTCACTGTAGCAGACTTGCAAGCAACAACCTGCACTGGTCACTGTAGCAGACTTGCAAGCAACAACCTGCACTGGTCACTGTAGCAGACTTGCGAGCAACAACCTGCACTGGTCACTGTAGCAGACTTGCGAGCAACAACCTGCACTGGTCACTGTAGCCGACTTGCGAGCAACAACCTGCACTGGTTACTGTAGCAGACTTGCGAGCAAAAACCTGCACTGGTCACTGTAGCAGACTTGCGAGCAACAACCTGCACTGGTCACTATAGCAGACTTGCGAGCAACAACCTGCACCGGTTACTGTAGCAGACTTGCGAGCAACAACCTGCACTGGTCACTGTAGCAGACTTGCGAGCAACAACCTGCACTGGTCACTGTAGCAGACTTGCGAGCAACAACCTGCACTGGTCACTGTAGCAGACTTGCGAGCAACAACCTGCACTGGTCACTGTAGCAGACTTGCGAGCAACAACCTGCACCGGTTACTGTAGCAGACTTGCGAGCAACAACCTGCACTGGTCACTGTAGCAGACTAGCGGGCAACAACCTGCACTGGTTACTGTAGCAGACTTGCGAGCAACAACCTGCATTGGTCACTGTAGCAGACTTGCGAGCAACAACCTGCACTGGTCACTGTAGCAGACTTGCGGGCAACAACCTGCACTGGTCACTGTAGCAGACTTGCGAGCAACAACCTGCACTGGTCACTGTAGCAGACTTGCAAGCAACAACCTGCACTGGTCGCTGTAGCATACTTGCAAGCAACAACCTGCACTGGTCACTGTAGCAGACTTGCGAGCAACAACCTGCACTGGTCACTGTAGCATACTTGCGAGCAACAACCTGCACTGGTCACTGTAGCAGACTTGCGAGCAACAACCTTCACTGGTCACTGTTGCCGACTTGCGAGCAACAACCTGCACTGGCCACTGTAGCAGACTTGCGAGCAACAACCTGCACTGGTTACTGTGGCAGACTTGCGGGCAACAACCTTCACTGGTGACTGTAGCAGACTTGCGAGCAACAACCTTCACTGGTCACTGTAGCAGACTTGCGAGCAACAACCTGCACTGGTGACTGTAGCAGACTTGCGAGCAACAACCTGCACTGGTCACTGTAGCCGACTTGCGAGCAACAACCTGCACTGGTGACTGTAGCAGACTTGCGAGCAACAACCTGCACTGGTCACTGTAGCAGACTTGCGAGCAACAACCTGCACTGGTCACTGTAGCAGACTTGCGAGCAGCAACCTGCACTGGTGACTGTAGCAGACTTGCGAGCAACAACCTGCACTGGTGACTGTAGCAGACTTGCGAGCAATAACCTGCACTGGTGACTGTAGCAGACTTGCGAGCAACAACCTGCACTGGTCACTGTAGCAGACTTGCGAGCAACAACCTGCACTGGTCACTGTAGCAGACTTGCGAGCAACAACCTGCACTGGTCACTGTAGCAGACTTGCGAGCAACAACCTGCACTGGTCACTGTAGCAGACTTGCGAGCAACAACCTGCATTGGTCACTGTAGCAGACTTGCGGGCAACAACCTGCACTGGTCACTGTAGCCGACTTGCGAGCGACAACCTGCACTGGTTACTGTAGCAGACTTGCGAGCAACAACCTGCACTGGTCACTGTAGCAGACTTGCAAGCAACAACCTGCATTGGTCACTGTAGCAGACTTGCGGGCAACAACCTGCACTGGTCACTGTAGCAGACTTGCGGGCAACAACCTGCACTGGTCACTGTAGCAGACTTGCGAGCAACAACCTGCACTGGTCACTGTAGCAGACTTGCAAGCAACAACCTGCACTGGTCACTGTAGCCGATTTGCAAGCAACAACCTTCACTGGCCACTGTAGCAGACTTGCGAGCAACAACCTGCACTGGTCACCGTAGCAGACTTGCAAGCAACAACCTGCACTGGTCGCTGTTGCCGACTTGCGAGCAACAACCTGCACTGGTCACTGTAGCATACTTGCGAGCAACAACCTGCATTGGTCACTGTAGCAGACTTGCGAGCAACAACCTGCACTGGTTACTGTAGCAGACTTGCGAGCAACAACCTGCACTGGTCACTGTAGCAGACTTGCGAGCAACAACCTGCACTGGTCACTGTAGCGGACTTATGTGGGGGCGATGTAAAGAGATGTAAAGGAACACAGGCACGCTGTCTGAAAGGAGGCAGTTGTGCAGTTATACTACTGGATGGTTTCTCTATACATGTACTTGTGAACGCAATCAAGCAAATAATTGAGTAACGTCGATTTATTTTGTTTATTACGCAAAAACGCAGCTTATCTGGAGCGCTGTGATATAGATAGTGTTTGTCTGAATGGTCTTCAATAATTAGCCATCAACCTGGCTTTGCTTATCCGCGAGCAATGTGATTACATCCTTGTGAAATCTGAGACACTCTTCTCGGGATTGAAATTAAAGTACATCTAAGGTAAATTGTATCTCATAGCATCGCGTTTTTCTCTAGCCTGATCAATAATTGAATTGTCATTTCGATACACATCACACTCGGCCTCTTCTCTCCAGCCGTGTCCTTTCGGGCGGGGACGTTCGTCACGTGGTGTCACGTGACTGACCAATGGCAGAGGTATTGTCAGCTGTCGTCACATGACGTCTTGTCGAGTGTATTTTCAACTTCCGCATGACGTCCTCGTGAGGGTATTGTCATCTTCCGCTTGACGTCTTCACGAGAGTATTGTCAACTTCCGCTTGACGTCCTCATGAGGGTATTGTCAACTTCCGCTTGACGTCCTCATGACGGTATTGTCATCTTCCGCTTAACGTCTACGTGAGGGTATTGTCAACTTCCGCTTGACGTCCTCGTGTGGGTATTGTCAACTTCCGCTTGACGTCCTCGTGAGGGTATTGTCAACTTCCGCTTGACGTCATCATGAGGGTATTTTCAACTTCCGAATGACGTCCTCGTGAGGGTATTGTCATCTTCCGCTTGACGTCTTCACGAGGGTATTGTCAACTTCCGCTTGACGTCCTCATGAGGGTATTGTCAACTTCCGCTTGACGTCCTCATGACGGTATTGTCATCTTCCGCTTGACGTCCTCGTGAGGGTATTGTCAACTTCCGCTTGACGTCCTCGTGAGGGTATTGTCAACTTCCGCTTGACGTCCTCGTGAGGGTATTGTCAACTTCCGCTTGACGTCATCATGAGGGAAGTTTCAACTTCCGCTTGACGTCCTCGTGAGGGTATTTTCATCTTCTGCTTGACGTCTTCACGAGGGTATTGTCAACTTCCGCTTGACGTCCTCATGAGGGTATTGTCAACTTCCGTATGACGTCCTCTTGAGGGTATTTTCAACTTCCGCTTGACGTCCTCACGGGGGTATTGTCAACTTCCGCTTGACGTCCTCACGGGGGTATTGTCAACTTCCGCTTGACGTCTTCACGGGGGTATTGTAAACTTCCGCTTGACGTCCTCATGAGGGTATTGTCAACTTCCGCTTGACGTCCTCACGGGGGTATTGTCAACTTCCGCTTGACGTCCTCACGGGGGTATTGTCAACTTCCGCTTGACGTCCTCACGGGGGTATTGTCCATTGTTTGTTACAGATCGAACTGTGCCGGAAGAACCCCTGTTTCAACCAGAGCGCATGCGTGGACCTCGGGAACACCTACAAGTGTCACTGCCACCCGGGATTTACAGGTGAGTAGGAGCGACAGAGGGTGATGTAAAAGTTAAATAAGAGTCAAAGATATTGCTTTATGTGTTAAGTGCTCGACCATAAACTTTCGAATTGATTAGTCAATGAAAAATATCAAATAACCACCTCTCAGAGCAATAGCTGATTATATTTTTTTATATGTTCAATTGGTATAATGTTACACAATGCAGAGTTCGGAAACTGTAAAACAGACATCGACGAGGAGAGTGTAGTCTAAGTGAGTGAGTGAGTGAGTGAGTTTGGTTAAACACCGCTGTTAACACTATTCCAGTTAGGAGTGTCAGCTTAATGTGAGAGGAAAGCCCGAAGTGATGCAGGTCTAAGACGTTTACCACTTCGGTGAAACCCACGAGAACGGGTATGGTGCTGACAAACCTAGAAACGTAATCAGGGCGAACGGGAATCGAACCCACAATCATAGGTTTCTGGCGTGCCCAAGGGATGCAACTCTGTTAAGCGAATCGCGGCGCCTTAGACGACATAGTCTTGAAGTAGTGACAACAGAAAATTTGAACTTTGGTTTTTTTTCTATATTCGACGTTGACGTCATATCATTTGCTGTACAATGAGTGGCGCGACGTCATTATTAGTGAACCGAAAAAGTACCATGATGTCAGGATATATTCTTTGAGAATTTTCAACGTCATTCTATGTTTCCTTAGTTTAAGGTTTACTTTGAGTTACATTGTTTCACTCAATATCCTAGATGACACCGAGAGTACGCCTCCAAAAATAGACTCCCTATACTCTGTCAGCGCAGAATAGCAAATCCGTCATATATTCAACCTATGAAACCTTCAAAGTGCGCGTTCGCTTCCACACACTACTTGTCTCGGTAGTTCTACAGGTGTTCCACACCTTGCTCTACATTGATCATATTACCGTCATCTGCTAATTAGGTGCCAAGCAATTTCTATCAGAATCGAATGTATTCAAAAGAGATTTCCTACTTCACCACTTTTTTGCGACAGTCACAAATAGATTGTTCGTTCTTGGTTTCGGATACCCCCGCAAGTAAACTGGATTGAATAATTGAATATAAACTATTTAAAAAAAAGTAACTTGGACTGAATCTTTTTAATTCAAGTTTAAATGGCGACGGCAAGATGTGAATTGCGACATTTCATAGTTCATAGGCAAAACTTACTGTTAATAATCAGGTTTACCTAGTTTACCCAGTTTGTATTTAAGTGTAGAATGTAACGTTAAAGCGTTGGCCCCAGAACTCTGGTAAATACATTCGGAATCTTTTTTTAAACTATCCATATTTATGTCCCCTCCGTAGTTTTGATGGAACCATCCCAAAAGCGGTCTCACACTCTGCCCACCCCCTCCACATACATCGCATCTCCCCCCTCGTTCCATCCTCCACAGTCACCACCTCACCCCCTCCCTCCCTCCACATACACCACCTCATCCCCTCTCTCCACGTCTATCGCCTCCACCCCTCCTTCCCTCCCTCCACATACACCACCTCAACCCCCCGCTCCACGTATATCGCCTCCACCCCTCCTTCCCTCCCTCCACATACACCACCTCATCACCCCGCTCCACGTATAACGCCTCCACCCCCCCTCCCTCCACCGACACCACCTCGACCCCTCGCTCCTCGTATATTGCCTCCACCCCTCCACCCCTCCCTCGGCCTCTTATGGGACTGTGGACTGTGTGTATGCTTCAACATGTAAGGGGGTAAAACAAGGACTGTCAGCTCGGAGTAACTGTGTGGTTGTCCATGTTAAACTGCAGCATGGTATCTCAGTGGGTTAGGAGTATAGGACTAGTTCAAGGTGAAACACGCACGCAAGCAAGCAAGCAAGCACGCACGCACGCACGCACGCACGCACGCCCCTCCTTATTGGTGGGAGAATGGCTATATTTGTATACCCCCTGAACACCGACTTATTGGAGATGAGCTATCCTGGTATACCGCCAGAAAAGCGCCGTATAGGTGGGAGATAGGCTATATTTGTACACCGCCTGATCACCGCCTTATACGAGGGTACACTGCCCCCAGAAGAACATCTCGTAATTCGTAATTACATGACACCATATAATCAAGTTATACTTCATCTTACCTAAGCCTATATAATTCAATTATATTCCCAAATATGGCTACAACTGGTAGACAGTAACAGATACGGGCTGTCGGCCATGTTGATGACGTCAACCCCCTTGGGGCCCTGGCGGGTCAGCGTGACCCCTTTCCTGTAGACACCCGCAGAGATAGGCCAGCAGAGACACGAAAAACACAATTAGATTATTTTCCATAAGATGAAACTATTTCGACACTATTTTGTATTCAGAAATTTTGCAACCATTTAGTAATGTGTCCGGAGGCTTTCAATAATATTGGACTTCGTTTATATGTAATTCGTTTAGAAAATCTCTCGTTAGAAAATCCACGGCACATTATTTTCTTATAAAACCTCCCTTCGCCTTTCCGGCCTGCGGTTACTGAAGGTGAATGAAAGGTTCTGAGACTAGCTGATGGAGATGGCTGCTAGTTATGTTTGGGATGAGATGGTGAATACAGAGGATGTTGAATGAGCACAAACCATGCACAAACCATGCACAAACCATGCACAAACCATGCACAAACCATGCACAGACCATGCACAAACCATGCACAAACCATGCACGAACCATGCACAAACCATGCACAAACCATGCACAAACCATGCACAAACCATGCACAAACCCTGCACAAGCCCTGCACAGACCATGCACAAACCATGCACAAACCACGCACGAACCATGCACAAACCATGCACGAACCATGCACAAACCATGCACGAACCATGCACAAACCATGCACAAACCATGCACAAACCCTGCACAGACCATGCACGAACCATCCACAAACCATGCACAAACCATGCACGAACCATGCACAAACCATGCACAAACCATGCACAGACCATGCACAAACCATGCACAAACCACGCACAAACCATGCACGAACCATGCACAAACCATGCACAAACCATGCACAAACCATGCACAAACCATGCACAAACCATGCACAAACCATGCACAGACCATGCACAAACCATGCACAGACCATGCACAAACGTGTGCACATGTGCATTGTCCTGGTGAACGACACACCTTTCTTGAGTTTCCCAGTTGAGTTTAAACCTTTGTGAACGGCTGTGAACCCTTTGACTATAAAAGCTAGTCGTTAGAGGCGACTAACGGGACCGGGTGGTCAGGCTCGCTGACTGGGCTGATGCATGTCTTCGTATGCCATGATGCTGATGATGTCAAGCACATGAATGTCTGGTCCAGACCCCATTATTTACAGACCGCCGTCATATAGCTGGAATATTGCTGAGTGTGGCGATAAACAACAACCAATGCACTATTCATCCGTCGTAGTCAGACTCAGAGTGCTTGACGACACACCCACCCACCCCCACCCCCCCCCCCCCCCCCCCCCCACACACACACACCCACCCACACACACCCCACACACACACACCCGTAGCAAAGTGGCATGACGTCAGTGCATCTTGTTTTACGCCGCAGTAATCTTCAACGTAACCGGGCCAACCCGAACACTGACAGCCATATTGGATCTTATATCAAGATGCTCTGAACAAACCTTGCGCTGCATCATGTGATCTTCTCAACCAATAACATCCATTGGCCCTTAAAGTAGTTGAAAAGAAGTTTTTAATTCTATTTATTTTTGTTTTGACATCAATGGGGTCTACCTGGCTGCCATATTAATATTCCAGTGTTGATGCGTGGAGTAAACCCCGTTCACAGGGACACACACCCAGCCAACACATCAGCAACTCCATCAATAACTACTGGAGGATATAAACACGATCCTTACTTGACGACGGACTAGGCAATGACCACGTGGCCTTTCGGGCCAGTGGAGCTGAAAATATAATGTCATAATTTAAGTATCACGATACATGATTGCGATCCAGAGTGACGTCCACCTACCTCCAGTTGGCAGTAGTCGGGGCGAGGGGAATCGCCGGCAGGGCACGGAGGACAATCTGAAGACTTTGTTAATAGGACACATAAAACAGGTTGTCAAGACGCCAGTAGACGTTAGTGAGTGTAATGGCGGTGACTGCGTGTTGGTGGTCGTGTTGTGGATTACACTTCAGCTTGAAGCCTTCTTATCAGCGGACATTGCAGCACTAAACCTGCATTATAATGAAATATAAGAAGTATTAGTCCCTTCGTAACGCGTCATAACTCACCACTTTGTCTCAGTAACAACTGTAATAATCTTTAAGCGGACGGACACAGGATATTGCATTCTGGGAAGTGCTTCTTCAACACACCCAGGAGGCTGATGGGATGTTTTCACCGACAATGTTTCCGTTACTGGTATCATCCGCAACATCAGCAACATCACTGAAGATGAAACCCTCTCCTCTAATAGCAGCCAACATCACAGAGCGTGAAGACTTCCCTCCCCCCCCCCCCCCCCCCCCCCTCACCCGACCAAGTACTCAAACTTAGCGTCAGCTATCCCAATCCCTTCCAGTGGTCAGCAAATATCCCCCCAGACATGTTATCATCATGAAGGGGACAACTATATAACTCGGTATGTGTTGCTCTGGAAATCTCGGTTGTGATAAACCTGTCAAATTAGTTTTAGTTTTACTGCTTGTACAACACTCTCGTATGTATCTATGGGGCTTGTCTCCAAATGATCGTGACACGACCGCGTGCTTGCAATTCTGGTTATTCTGTCTCGAACAAAAATCCCCCACAGATATTGAATGGTCGCCTTGATGTGGTTATCCACTGCTAAGTGTTTTTTGTTGTTGTTGTTTTTTTGTGTGTTGTGTGTGTGTGTGTGTGTGTGTGTGTGTGTGTGTGTGTGTGTGTGTGTGTGTGTGTGTGTGTGTGTGTGTGTGTGTGTGTGTGTGTGTGTGTTTCTGTGTGTATGTGTCCGTGTTTGTGTCTGTATCTGCGTGTGTGTGAGTCTTTGTGTCTTTGTGCGTGCGGCATTGAGAGAGAGAGGGGGGGAGATAGAGCGGGTGAGATGTTTGAGGGAGAGAGAGAGAGATGGAGAGAGAGAGAGATGGACAGAGAGAGAGAGAGAGAGAGAGAGAGAGAGAGAGAGAGAGAGAGAGAGAGAGAGGACGCTGCTGTAATGTTGTAGTTGTTGTGATGCAGGTCACCACTGTGAAGTCAACGTCAACGAGTGCGCCTCGAGCCCCTGTCTGAATGGCGGGACTTGCCATGATCACGTGAACGGATACCAGTGCCTCTGCCACGAAATGCATGCTGGTCCAAACTGTCAGTACACACGTAAGTACAACAGTGACATATCTCTTCTCCTCACGGCCATCAGCATACCCCTAGGCTCCGTGCATGCTGACTGTGTGACGTCACCGCGAGACATTAAAGGACGTATTAGTTGAAACCTGATCATGATAATAAACCTGTTACTTTACGGATTTAGTATATGCTTTTATAAAATCAATAAATATAGATTAAAATGCGTCTGTCTATCGTGCTCTTTCGTTGACCTTATGTTCAAAGGGTTGCAAATGTCTCCGAGATAATGATTCACAGTAAGAGCTCCCTCGGCCGTTTTGCGTTTAACATTAACACACAATGATTTCATCGGTTGTGGTAGTGGTGGGGGTAATAGTATTAGCACACCGTGTTCTGTGGTCAGGCGTTTTATGGGGTACACTTTTCACATCGCGATATGCCCTTCGTCATTGTCCATCACCAACTGTCTGGCGCTGAATCACTGCGTCTACATCCCCTGTGCCAGAGAACACCTTTGCGCCAGAAGATCAGAACTGACGTTAACTGTGACGATTAGAGCCTGCTAATGTCATTTATCCCTGATCACGTGACACTCGTAGATGCCAAATTAAGACACATCTAATCACGTGACTACCCGGTGTGAAGTTGCCTCGCAATCACGTGACACCTGTCACTGGGGATGACATACCTGACTCTGATGCAGACTCTGTGGCTTCGGGAAGCCATGTTCGCCGAGTCGTGTGACGGTTGATCGTAACTTGAAGATGTTGGGTCGAAACAGGGAAAAATCGAGAAGGATAAGTGCCCTCATTGCCCACTGAAATGTCAATAACGGCATTACAACTTTTAGACATGCTCAAATGGCTGACAGCTTGCCTTTTTTCCTTTCTAACGAGGGCTGGTCAAAACGTTTCGAGCCTGACGAACTTCATTACTGTTGGCAATAACAAAGTGAACTAGTCAATGTAGTACATTGTTTGGGTGCAAGTGCATTAGGGGATAGGGGACCAAACGGACACAGAAATGGAAAAGAACGAGTCATCAAGGTTTTTTTATTTTAGGGAAAAGTACTCCGCATGAAATTCATGACCGCATGTCACAGGTGTATGGGGATAAGTGCCTAGCTATTCCACCGTTATACGTTGGGCAGCCATGTTTAAGCTGGGAGAACAAGCCTTGATGATGACCTTGGTCTGGACGTCCTTCAACTTCCATTAATGAAGATTCATTCAAGGAAATAGAAAAACTTATACTGTCAGAGAGTCGTATTACCATTACTGAACTTGAGGAAGACACCGGTCTAAGCCATCGATCCATTGAAAATATATTCATTAACATTTACAGATGAAAAAGATATCTGCTCTTTGGTTGCCAAAGTTTCTAAATTCTGGTCTTAAGGAAAAAAGAACTGACATTGTCAGAGAAAAAAACGAATTCAAAAAGAGATTAGAAACATGGGTCTACCACTATGATTCTCCGAGTCAAAACGTCAATCCATGGAGTGGCTCCATTCCACTTCTCCGGAACCAAAGAAATTCAAGTCTTCAAGATCAGTGAAGAAAGTCAAGGTTATTGTTGTCTGGAATACAAAGGCTGTGATCATTGTTCATTTCTAAGAAAAAGTCAAAAGACGATTATCGGTGCCTACTATGCTGATTTTCTTCATGGCCTGAGAGATTCTATCAAAGGAAAGCCTCGAGGAATGCTGACTGCTGGAGTTCTACTATTTCATGACAATGCTTTTTCTCACACCTCTCAACTTGCAAAGGATGCAGTGCGTCAATGTGGATTCGGAGAGCGCTATGATGACAACAGCGACCTCAAAGCTGCCGCGAATGGGTTTTTCAGGGTGGCTATCGATATGAGAAGTGTGTTGAAAAGCAGGAAGATTATGTTGAAAAATATGATTAAAAACACTTTCTCAATTGTTGGTATTGTTTGTTAGGCTAAGAACATTTTGACCAGCCGTCGTAGACTTGCAAGTTCTGGACTTCTGATATGGTGCAATATATACGTATGCTGAAATAAGTGAAAAAAGTGAAGTCCAATATCAAACATCATTGTTTGAACAGATGTTATTAGTCTACATCTTGGAAAATCATCTTGCGTCAAAGACATGCTCAAATTTTCAGCATTTTCGACGCATTGTAGACTAACCTAAGAATTTAGTGTTCGAATAAGTTTATGTTCTGTAATTAAGTAAGCGTTCAATAATTTAGTTTTCTGTAATTTAGTTTTCTGTAATGTAGTGTTATGTAATTTAGTGTTCTGTAATTTAGTGTTCTGTAATTTAGTGTTCTGTAATTTACTGTTCTTTAGTCCCAAAATGATACAGGTAGGCAAGCTCGGATGCTGGGACGTTGTACAGATCACCTTACGTCAGCCTAGTCTGGGCTGGAGTTCAGGCCGCCCGGTAGTGGCTTGGTAGTTGTCAACAACAGACACAATGATGCAACTTTGCCAATGTTGGTCGCAAGTCTGCGTTCTGCCGAATTGACTGATTTATCGTTATATTTACCGGCAAGAAGACTCTTACCAGCAAGACACAAAGAGCTGTTTTTGAAGATGCCTCCACGACCCTATACGTGTGGAATCGGCCAAATAAATAACGATATACACGGATATACCAGCCAAATGACGCTAAACACGAAGGATATACCAGCCAGATGACGCTATACACGACGGATACACCAGCCAGAAGGTGCTATACATGAAGGATATACCAGCCACATGATGCTATACACGAAGGATATACCAATCAGATGACGCTATACACGAAGGATATACAAGGCAGATGACGCTATACACGAAGGATATACAAGGCAGATGACGCTATACACGAAGGATATACCAGCCAGATGACGCTATACACGAAGGATATACCAGCCAGATGACGCTATACACGAAGGATATACCAGCCAGATGACGCTATGCAAGAAGGATGTACTAGCCAGATGACGCTATACACGAAGGATATACCAGCCACATGATGCTATACACGAAGGATATTCCAATCAGATGACGCTATACACGAAGGATATACAAGGCAGATGACGCTAAACACGAAGGATATACAAGGCAGATGACGCTATACACGAAGGATATACCAGGCAGATGACACTATACACGAAGGATATACCAGCCAGATGACGCTATGCAAGAAGGATGTACTAGCCAGATAACGCTATACACGAAGGATATACAAGGCAGATGACGCTATACGCGAAGGATATACAAGGCAGATGACGCTATACACGAAGGATATACCAGCCAGATGACACTATTCACGAAGGATATACCAGCCAGATGACGCTATACAAGAAGGATATACCAGCCAGATGACGCTATACACGAAGGATATACTAGCCAGATGACGCTATACACGAAGGATATACTAGCCAGACGACGCTATACACGAAGGATATACCAGCCAGATGACGCTGTACACGAAGAATATACTAGCCAGATAACGCTATACACGAAGGATATACCAGGCAGATGACGCTATACACGAAGGATATACCAGCAAGATGATGCTATACACGAAGGATATACCAGCCAGATAACGCTATACACAAAGGATATACCAGCAAGATGATGCTATACACGAAGAATATACTAGCCAGATGACGCTATACACAAAGGATATACCAGGCAGATGACGCTATACACGAAGGATATACCAGCCAGATGATGCTATACACGAAGGATATACCAGCCAGATGACGCTATACACGAGGGATATACCAGCCGGAAGATGCTATACAAGAAGGATATACCAGCCAGATGACGCTATACACGAAGGATATACCAGCTAAATGACGCTATACACGAAGGATATACCAGCCAGAAGATGCTATACACGAAGGATATACGAGCCAGATGACGCTATACACGAAGGATATACCAGCCAGATGATGCTATACACGAAGGATATACCAGCCAGATGACGCTATACACGAAGGATATACCAACCAGATGACGATATACACGAAGGATATACTAGCAAGATGACGCTATACACGAAGGATATACAAGGCAGATAATGCTATACACGAAGGATATACCAGCCAGAAGATGCTATACACGACGGATACACCAGCCAGATGACGCTATACACGAAGGATATACTAGCCAGATGATGCTATACAAGAAGGATATACCAGCCAGAAGATGCTATTCACGAAGGATACACTAGCCAGATGACACTATACACGAAGGATATACCAGCCAGATGACGATATACACGAAGGATATACTAGCAAGATGATGCTATACAAGAAGGATATACCAGCCAGAAGATGCTATACACGAAGGATATACCAGCCATATGACGATATACACGAAGGATATACTAGCAAGATGACGCTATACACGAAGGATATACCAGGCAGATAATGCTATACACGAAGGATATACCAGCCAGAAGATGCTATACACGACGGATACACCAGCCAGATGACGGTATACACGAAGGATATGCCAGCCAGATGATGCTATACAAGAAGGATATATCAGCCAGAAGATGCTATACACGACGGATACACCAGCCAGATGACGCTATACACGAAGGATATACCAGCCAGAAGATGCTATACACGAAAGATATACCAGCCAGATGACGCTATACACGAAGGATATACCAGCCAGAAGATGCTATACACGAAGGATATACAAGGCAAATGACGCTATACACGAAGGATATACTAGCAAGATGACGCTATACACGAAGGATACACTAGCTAGATGACGCTATACACGAAGGATACACTAGCCAGAATACCAAGACTAGCCAGGATGCTGTATTAGTATACTGGTAACCAGAAGACGCCATACAGGAACAGACAGATGTATATCAACCACACAGCTGCTAGGATTCAGGGTACTATCTGACGGCGACAGTGTGTGACGACAAGACTGTCTTGTAGTTTGGTCGATCACGATGAGTCCTCCCTGGCTTGTCTTTGATTAATCAGACGCCGTGGATTTCGTATAGGAAAAATAAAATACTTTTAAAGATCATTCGTCTCCATTTCATTATCCTGCGCTTCACGTGGATGCACGACTGTTGTCTCCTGACACTCTGACGTCACCTGTATGTGGCCACGGGGCAATATAACATGGGTGTTATTTATGGGGATGACATTAAACTCCGTGACTATCGCGCCTACCTTTGGAATACAATGTACGTCACCGGTATCTAAGATGAGACTCGGGGATGCTGATGCGGGTGAACCATCCCTGTATGGCCAGGACGAGATGATGTGGAGGGTTTTCAGTTAGTGTCGTAGTACCAAATTGATCGATGTATCTCATGTACGTTCACGGACGGTTGTAACAGACGTGGAGCCCATTCAGCTTCACAAGTGGATTGTTTTTGTCTTAAATGTTGGTGTAAGCGGTGCATCCTGGTTACGTAGAACGCATGGGTCTATGAGAAGCACCCAGCAATACATCAGGGCGGGTTACGGTGCCTGTGTTGTCTTTTATGCGATGTGGCGTCCGCCAGGGGTAGTGCGCTACCTCCAGCTCGCCAGCCTTCTGTATCACTCTTTCTGCAGGTTACAAGATACACTCTGATATCTGAAAAGGTCTTGATTTTATACTATGACAAATGTTGTATTTGGGATAACACTTTCTTTGTACAGTTCAGATTCTAGTACTTTTAAGTCAGCGATCCAACCCACTCGGCCACCGAGGCTTCCACAAAAATGATGGTCCGACAATGGTGGCTGAGTGGGTAGGGTCGCTGCCTTTGTGTGCTGGCGATAAGGTGCCTCACTCTGGAAGTATGGGTTCAAATCCCGGATGGGTTACATTGCTGACTTTGTGTGCTGGCGATTAGGTGCCTCACTCTAGGAGTGTGTTCGAATCCCGGATGGGATCTGAAGCCCAAAAAGTATTAGAATCTGTACTTTACTAACAAAGTGTTATCCCAAATATAACGACCCGTGAAGATCCGGGGTAGAATAGATCTTCAGCAACCCATGCTTGCCGTAAAAGGCGACTATGCTTGTCGTAAAAGGCGACTAACGGTCGCGGGTGGTCAGGCTCGCTAACTTAGTTGATGCATGTCATCGATCCCAATTGCGTGGATTGATGCTCATGATATTAATCACTGGATTGTCTGGTGCAGACTCGATTATTACTAACCGCCGTCATAAAGCTGGAATATTGCTGAGTGCGGCGTTAAACAACAAACCAACCAACCAACCCAAAAATAACATTTGTTACATTTGACCACTTTCTAAATGGAATTGTGTGTTCATTGATATTATACTCATTCGGGGCAGTGGGGTTGCCTCGTGGTTAAAGCGTCCACTTGTCAGCCGAAGACCCAGGTTCGATTCCCCTCATGAGTACAATGTGTGAGGCCCATGCACGTGATATTGTTGGAATATTTCTGACAGCGGCGTCAATAGATACTCACTCACTCATGCACTGTTCTTCATTCCTGCCTTGGCTCTTCCGTCACATACACATCCCATGTTTCAGTTGACATGTTCGCCCCGTTCCTGGAGGGGAAACCACGTGGCGTGTCGGATACCCAGCATTCCTACCACGTCCGGAACCTGTACATCGTGGCCGGAACTCTCTCGGGCGCCATCTTGATCGTTGTGGTGGTGTTGACGGGCTGCTACTGTCGGATGCACGAGAGCTACAAGAAATTCAATTTCAAACGCTTGAAGTACAGAAGACATAAAGAGTAAGCTGGGATCAATCTATCTCCTGTACATTTAACCTTTCTGAACAGAAGCCGGGGTGAGACTATCGGTCCCAAGCTTGTCGTAAAAGGCGAGGTGAGAACATAGGTCCCCAGCTTGTTGTAAGAGCCGGGTTGAGAACATAGGTCCCCAGCTTGTTGTAAGAGGCTGGGTGAGAATATAGGTCCCCAGCTTGTTGTAAGAGGCTGGGTGAGAATATAGGTCCCCAGCTTGTCGTAAGAGACGGGGTGAGATTATTGGTCCCGTGCTTGTCGTAAGAGGCGGGGTGAGACTATCGGCCCCCAGCTTGTCGTCAAAGGCATGGTGACAACATAGGTACCCAGCTGGTCGTAAAAGGCGAGGTGAGAATATAGGTCCCCAGCTTGTTGTAAGAGGCGGAGTGAGACTATCGGTCCCCAGCTTGTCGTAAGAGACGGGGTGAGATTATTGGTCCCGTGCTTGTCGTAAGAGCCGGGGTGAGAACATAGGTCCCCAGCTTGTCGTAAGTGGCTGGGTGAGTTTATCGGTCCCCAGCTTGTCGTAAGTGGCTGGGTGAGACTATCGGTCCCGTGCTTGTCATAAGAGGCGGGGTGAGAATATAGGTCCCCAGCTTGTCGTAAGAGGCGAGGTGGGAACAGAGGTCCCCAGCTTGTGGGAAGACGCAACGAAATGAGTCGGGGTCAGGTTCTACGATTTGTTTGTCATCGTATCCCAAATACGTGACAAAGTAGACAAAATTTATGATAACAACTTCGTTATTTACTGTAAGGCATGAGAAATGCAAGGCGTGACAACGGTATAAAGATCTATACCGAAACGCCGCATTTAATTAAATAAAGAAGTTGTTATCCATAAATTGTGTCTACTTTGTCATCCGTTAACTTCTAAGTAATGCCTATCAAATAATTCATCCCAATTACGTTGATCGATGAAGTCAGTTAATGGGTTGTCTTGTACAGACTCGATTATTTACAGATCGCCGTCATATAGCTAGAGTATTGTTGAACATGCAGTTGTCCATCAATATAATTATTGCCGACTTGCTCAATACATTTTTGTCCTGTGTGGTGATTGAGACAAACGTGGCACTATATTGTGCACGGGCCGGTTCACTCCAATTGTATCCATACGCAGTGTCTATAGTTACTTCATTGACTAAGTACGTCTAAAACATCGAGTATTTTAAGAAAGACTTTATATGATAAACTGGCTGTTACACTCGTATTTCCGCATCGTAAATCGGCGGGGGAGCTACAAGTGATCAGACAGTCACACATGCTAACATCAACAAATAAATATGTTGTAAAGCCTGGTGCAGCATCTTCAATCATTTACTTCATAGTGGAGGAGATTAAACATACAGCAGTGAATATATATGGTGTCATTGTAATCTTCTTCCTATAGACAGTCATGTTAAGCTGAAATATTAATCTCACTGTTCGCCTAGCCTACTTCAACTGTCGCGTCGTTATGACGGTAATTAATCGTGACGAACCGGTCACGTGATATTCCCAGTACGAATCTCCCCACATACGTCGACAAATGAGAACTCTGTAACCGTGTTTCTGTCGCAGTATGGAGCCTGGAGACTCTACCGTGGACGTCAGCAGCGTCGCCTGTCCCCGCCTCTCCATCGACGCCATCTGGGAGGCCACAAGCCTCAGCTACGACAACAACCAGCTCCAGTCACCGCTTCACAAGGAGTCGCTCAAACACATGAAGATCTGAGGAGTTCTCTTCACCGGTGTACAGTCAAAATGATTCCTGTGACAAAAGGGACTATTTTTTCTGGGGTCATTGGGAAATTGTTTTAACGATGTTTATCGACTTGAAATGTTAACTTGAATCAGATATTATTTTTTGTTCACATATTTAAGTTTATGTTCACATGAGATTTTATTCATATAATAATTCGTAACAGAAAAGGTTGGTCTGTATAATGTCGGGTGTTGTGCAACTGTTTGTCCGAAGCTCCGCCTCATTCCACGGAGTTAATCGCAATAATGACACATCTTGTTCATGCAGGTTCCAAGGCGATTTCTATGAGAGATTGTCCAGGCGCTGTCAATCACGTCAATGATTAAAGAAATAAAAATTTGACAGAAAGTTGTAAAAATGGTTCATGTATCGCTAGTTGGCTGTAAGGAATCACACAATAAGACCTAGTCCTCAAAGTATTAGATATTCTGATTGGTTGTTAGGGACAGTCACGTGATAAGAAGTTAACTTTACACACGACTGGATTTGCGTTGAGTAGGACACGAGACAAGGCTTATTTTCATTATAACTCCATGTCTCTGTTTGGCTCACAGGTTGGGTCACGTGACGATACCCAACCTGCATGTGTCGGCCATCCATCAGACCCAAGCGTCCTGTTGTGTTAAAAGTGTCAGTGTTAGACAGTTATTAAGATACGATCACCTGCCTCTTCCCTACAACACGTTGTAAATATATATTCCTGTTGGTACTGGTCTCTAGAAGTCCAGACATAATATACACCTGTGCTGATACGTCATCCACTGTCAGGGCCCCGATCAACAAAGCGCTCGTAGCACTACGTCATTCGTAAGCCTATGACAGACATTTGAGTTTGCTCGAACGATAGAGATTTGTGGCATTCGCGACCAACTCGTGTTATTCCGGGACATGCCGAAAAGCGACTCGTGCTCCTCTTTTGCGACTTTGTTCCGACTAAGCGCAAACGGGCATGGCTAAAAGAATTGTCAACTCGTTGCGTAATGATTCACGTATATTTCTCCCCTATATTCTGCAATATGATTGAACACGTTTAACTGTATATTTCACTGAGAAAGTTTTTAAATGCAAAATCAAAAATTATTCCTGAGGAATTTATTGACCGAGGTACTTGAAGTCATTCTGATTGGTTTGTCGTAGTTTCGCACATAACATTTATCGATTGGGGGACGAGTCTTCTTGCCGGTTACGGAAAGAGGCGAGTGATCACGAATGGGATTTGTGGGTCGGGGCCCCGATCGTCACAGGATGGGATGGGTGGGGTCGTTCAACAAGCTTAGCGGTGGTTGGCTGTACATATCCCTCCTCCATATCTGTTGTTATATGCATTGTTGACAACCGTGCAGTATTGTTGTTATTCCTTATGAATGTATGCTTGTTTATTTCCTGTTTATTACATCTTTGTGTACATATTCCATATATTGATTTACACGTGTATCCCATATCACACAGAGGTGAGTTGTCACATCCAGAACTAGCGTCACCTAATGTAACGTGGCTCCATGTTTGTAGCGTAAATACTGTGAACCAATCTGCAACGTGTGTTTTCTGAAAGGTAGCAAACCATAGTTTGATAAAACTGGGATTCAAAATCATTTTCATTTAATCGTCTTCCGTGCAACCTGTGACATATTGAGAGGACACGATCGTTAACAGTGTTTTGTAGTCATCTCACAATCTCACCGACAAACAACCTTAATACACTCAACAAACGCACAAACATGATTTTGACCTCCGCTGAAACAATAAAGCACATTAGAAAATAGGAAAAAAGAGCCAAACGTAAAGGGACGTCACTCTTATATTACAAGGGCGCTGTGCGGAATCCGAGGACAGTTGTCTCCCGTGGATGCACAGATCATGCAGACAACAGCCGTATTTGTCTTTAAATGGTGGGCTTCCTGGAGGAGGTGTTTTTTAAATCATTGATGCCATTATTTGTCCTGTCAAATTCAATGTATGGTTAGGGTACTACAAACATTAAGGTTGCGTTTTGTTTTGCTTAATTCAAAGCAGTGTGTATTTGACAAATGACTTGCTTCCTGTCAACAATATGTCGCGTGTTACGTTTACAGCAAGTGTCCGACCACATCCGACTTAGTTGCTGCCGTGTGTCGATGGTGTCACGAGGTTGTGTGATGAGGGAATCATCTTTGCCCACAGACTGTATCCCCAGTACATTTAATCGACGTTTTAATCGTGACATACTGACGTTCATTGGGAATTGCACGTCAGTTAGATTTGAAGTGCTCACCGAGTCGAGGTCAGCCGCTACTGTCAATATTAAGTGTGAAGGGGAATCCCCAGATAGCAGCTTCCAACAAGGGCAAGGTCAAATGACCTGAACTACTTGGGCTTCCGAGGGTGTAGTGACGGAATGAGCCGATGATATCCGATTGCGCCTTATCGTGTAATCCATGGAAATAACAGACTCTACCTTCCCCCGTCTATCGCGCTGTACCGGAGGCTCCTTAGTACACAGCTGTTATAGTTCTTCCATTAGGCCATTGAAACAACATGTATGATATATCAGTATTGAGATTACAGAATGATTACAACACTCAAGAATGTTTTGGTAGTTTATTGTTAAGATATTTCTACTAATACCAGGACCGATATTTCTACTGATACCAGGACTGATATTTCTACTGATACCAGGACCGATATTTCTACTGATACCAGGACTGATATTTCTACTGATACCAGGAACGATATTTCTACTGATACCAGGACTGATATTTCTACTGATACCAGGACTGATACTTCTACTGATACCAGGACCGATATTTCTACTGATACCTGGACTGTTATTTCTACTGATACCAGGACCGATATTTCTACTGATACCTGGACTGTTATTTCTACTGATACCAGGACTGTTATTTCTACTGATGCCAGGACCGATATTTTCTTAACGTTAAATATTAAATATATTGAAATGAATATTGAACACTGAAGGTGTCTTTGAGAACTGTCAAAGAAAGGGGTCATTATTAAGTAGATCCATGCTCATGATGTCAATCAGTGGATTGTCTGGTCCAGATTCTATTATTTACAGACCGCCGTCATATAGCTGGACAATTGCTGTGTGCGGGGTTAAACAAAATAAACAAGATGGAAGAACTGATCCAGAAATGTAGACACATGTGAAATTATTCAGGACATGACGTAATGTGACTGTGACGTCATCAAGGTGATAAGTATCCACGCCAGCTGGTTAAATGGTCGTTGTGTCCCTGTTTAATAACGAAATACTGACACCTGTTTGCTTAATAACGTATACTAACACCTGTGTCTGTTTAATAACGTAATACTAACACCTGTGTCTGTTTAATAACGTAATACTAACACCTGTGTCTGTTTATTCCAGAGGTGGTGTCACATTGTCATAAACATAACTTGTTGATCTGGTATGTGGATAGATTCAGTTCCATAAAAGGGTATTATTATTATTATTATTATTATTATTATTATTATTATTATTAACATTATTATCATTATTATAAGTATTAATGTGCATCATGTTCTTGTCTCCATTCTCAGCTGACATGTGGCAATAATGGTATTTCGTTCTGTTTTTATGTCTCACCCCGTCGCGGCTGTTTGAGAGTTTCAAATAAAACGTGGATTCCAACCCTTGTGTCCCTGCCTACTTTCTTCTCTGTCAGGCCTCGGGTCTGGCGATAGTATCAGCCACATGTATAAACCACCCACTTCCTGACAGCTTCCATATGTATGACAGCTGCCTGACATAAACAACATTAAATGCGCCATCAATCACGAGACCGCACAAACAATCCTGTCGAACCGCCAACGCGATTTCGGAGGATAAGAAGTGGTCTCAATACCTTGTACAGTGAGTGAACTGTTCGCCTGGTTTGACTCTTGTTGACCAGGACTGGTTCTGTCCTGTTCCCCAGACCAAATGTGTGAGTGAGTGAGTTGGATTTCCGCCGCTTTCAACAATATTCAAGCAAGAATATTAGAAGTGGGCTTCACCCATTGTAGCTATTCAAGGGAACTCGACCTCCGGTGTGACGACCTTGTCGTAATGTATTAGCAAAGTAAGATGGAGAAATAATGAACGATTTTGCGGAGAAAAACCCTACCATCATTGGAACGTGTTGCAGCGGAGAAGCAAAAATGAAAAATATTCCGGAACACCGGACACCGGGTGGTCAGCACTTGCTTGATGTGTATACAAAGTTTCATAAAGAGATTTATAAATGAAACAATTATTTATAAAATATGAGTTATGCCCTTGAAACGAAACCTAACCTCTTGTAAACGTCAACAATTTAAAACAAGGGTCATAACACTGTATAATATTAACTCTTGATGGCGGTTTTAAATCTTGATAACATATTCATCACAAATATGATATATTATTTAAAATGCCATGTTGAGTGGGTTCAAGGGAAACGTGTGCACAAAGACGAGTGAGTGAGTGAGTGAGTTGAGTGAGTGAGTGAGTGAGTTGAGTGAGTGAGTGAGTGAGTGAGTGAGTGAGTTGGTGAGTTGGTGGGTGAGTGAGTGGGTGGGTGGGTGAGTCACACGTTGCCAGTTCAATGTGGGATGAAAGCCCACAGGAAGAAAGTGATATTTTCCCTGACGTTCCTTCTTTCAATTAAACCCAAAAGGACAGGAATAGTGCTGCCACACGAAGAATGTTTATCTGGTCGAGAAAAGTAGGATTCGAACTCACGGTCATTTGATCCTGTCACAGTGTGTGAATCTGCAGATCAAGTGATGGCTTCTTGGAAATTCAAATTTGAACATGAACATGAAGCAAAATGCAAGGCAAGCGCTCGTCCTGGAATGACACAAGTTTGTCACGAATGAATGAAACCAATTCTTTCCCTTTGATTGTGAGATATACCATCAAATATACATTACGATGTACCTTGGTGTACTTACATTATATAGATTGCTGATCGAATCCCCCTTACATATCTATTGTATTACCACGAGACTGGAGGTATGAATGAATGAGACCACGAGACTGGAGGTATGAATGAATGAGACCACGAGACTGGAGGTATGAATGAATGAGACCACGAGACTGGAGTTATGAATGAATGAGACCACGAGACTGGAGGTATGAATGAATGAGACCACAAGACTGGATGTATGAATGAATGAGACCACGGGACTGGAGGTATGAATGAATGAGACCACGAGACTGAAGGTATGAATGAATGAGACCACGAGACTGGAGGTATGAACGAATGAGACCACGAGACTGGATGTATGAATGAATGAGACCACGAGACTGGAGATATGAACGAATGAGACCACGAGACTGGAGGTATGAATGAATGAGACCACGAGACTGGAGTTATGAATGAATGAGACCACGAGACTGGAGGTATAAATGAATGAGACCACGAGACTGGAGGTATGAATGAATGAGACGACGAGACTGAATGTATGAATGAATGAGACCACGAGATTGGAGGTATGAATGAATGAGACCACGAGACTGGAGGTATGAACGAATGAGACCACGAGACTGGAGGTATGAATGAATGAGACCACGAGACTGGAGGTATGAATGAATGAGACCACGAGACTGAAGGTATGAATGCATGAGACCACGAGACTGGAGGTATGAATGAATGAAACCACGAGACTGGAGGTATGAATGAATGAGGGAAAGCGGGTTGTAACAAAAACCGTATCTAACGAGGCAGTGTGTAGTAACCAATTCATTATCCTCTTAAATAATAATAATAATAATAATAATAATAATAATAATAATGTCAGACAATAGATCCTATTCTCGCTCTTCCCTCAATCGCTTATATTTATCAATCATTATGGGAGGACGTGGTTTGATTAACGTTGGGGCTCTTCATGATAGAATTGTTTTGTGCACTTTTGCACACATTTATTTGTCTGATGATCCTCTTGTGAGGCATGTCAAGATTCATGATGAAAACAAGGCATTCCACAGTGTTCTAATACGAGTCAAGGATGTGGGACATAATCTCAATGTCGGTGTTGATTTTTTTTTATGGTTCTGTACTGCTGGACGGTACAGAAATGAGTGTCAACCAAGCGAAGTGTCATATCAAGTCGGCTGAGTTTTTAAAGGAGAGGCTATCTGAACGACCACTTCATCGAGTTTATGTGCAGTTTGTTGAGAAGATCAGCAATCCTGCAGAGTCCTTCGCTTGGATGAAGACGTCTGGCCTGAAAAGTGAAACAGAAGGTTTTCTGTTTGCTGCTCAGGACCAGTCACTTCCCACTCGAAACCGTCCATGTGTGATTTTGCATCAAAATGTAAATATGAAACGTAGATTATGTAATGAATTGAATGAGGCTGTCCAACACATTGTCAGTGGATCCCCAACTATGGCACAGTATCTTAAGCGACATGATGGTGTAGCTCGATCATTTTATTACCGTCTTCGCCATGCTTGTGGTTTTCACACAGAGGTCCACCAATGGTACGACCCGGAATATGTAGACGGCGTCATGGAAAATTATCAATACAAAAATCTTTGGAATAGGCCCATTTACAGCCCTAGACGTATCCAGGCCAACAAACCTGATCTTGTCCTTTTTGATAAATCCAATGAAATCATTTTTATCATTGAATTTTCTGTCCCCTTTGACACTGATGTGATTGACAAGATTGAGGAAAAACATGGCAAATATGCGGACCTCGCTTTCGAAATGTCACGCTTGGATCCCAAGTACCAAGTTGTCCGACGCCCTTTGTTCTCGATGCCTTAGGTTTGGTAGCTCCCAATCTGTTGACTGACATCGGGAGAGTACCCGGGTTTGCTACCAGGAATACAGCCCTTCTGACAATCTGGGTAATGCAGAAGGCTGCAGTTTTGGGGAGTCTTCACATTCTCCGAAAAGTTCTGGGTGGGTATCACTAGGCAGCGCTTCTTGGGAGAAGTCCCATTCGCTATCTGGGCATTTGTATAGCGCAACATTCACTGTGCATAATTGCTATGTACATTGAAAACAGACGTTCCTTTGGGTCAAGGGTCAAGAGTCAAGGGTCAAGGCTGTTGTGTGAATATAACATTGGTGGATTCGTCCATACACTGTTCACTCGAGGTGCAACCTGGCAATACGACAGGAAGCTTTCTCCAGGACCGTTAGAACAAACGATAAGATGCAGATTCTGAATTTCTCTAAACATCTCTAGGTGAATCTGGTCACTAAAACAGAAATTGATCAAAGTAACTGACTACGTGGTGATTATTATTTGTTAGCATATGACGTCGTTCAGAGAAGGCGTCACCCAATTTCTAAGAACATGAAGGTAGAATATGTACAATTACACAATGAATGGATTATTAAGAAAAAAAACTCGTTTTTCACATCCTCAAGCCTTCAGTGTTATGTCAATGAAGAAAGTTCATCTTATGTGTCGATGGTACTTATTTGGAACAAGCGATGACAACAAAAAGAAGAATCTTTATCTTGTAGATATGATCAAGGATCAATATGTTATAACGTAGTAATATTCTACTGTCAAAGTTGAATGTATTATAATACATACATTTCGGACTATACCATATGGATAATATATTGATTATCGAATTACAGAGTAATGGAAACTTGCTGGACTGGTCAGAATATGTACCTATGGCCTCAGGCTTGGGGTCAAGCCAACTAAAATGGCCTTGTGTTTGTCGAACATTGATTGATCAGGATTACAACATCCAAGGCCTTAGTCAAGCTTGAAACCGTTTTAAGGTAGATAAGTGGATGACATTTCCAAAATTGACGATCAGCGACAAAAATGATATTCCTATTTTGTCTCGTAGGATAATGTTCTCGTTTTTTCCTCAGATGAACAATTGACCAGCCCTTGCATGTGTTTGTGACGGGTGCCACCAGTGGGACAGGGTACGCTCACATTTTCACGAACACATTACATTATCAGTATTTGATAGTGATTCATAGGTACATGCTGAGGATACGGTCGGAATCATACAATAAGTGAGTGAGTGAGTTGGGTTTAACGCCGCTTTTTACAGTATTCCAGTTATATCGCGGCGTGTCAGCTTAATGTGGGAGGAAAGCTCGAAGTGATGCAGGTCGCAGACGTTTACCACTTCGGTGAAACCCACGAGCACGGGTATGGTGCTGACAAACCTAGGGATTCGAACCCACAACCATAGGTTTCTGGCGTGCCCAAGGGACGCAACTCTGCACAGCGAATCGCGGCGCCTTAGACGACTAGGCCACCCGTGCCCCCCTCATACAATGAAGGCTATGGAGCTTTCTTGTGATTAATGGAAAGACTTTTATCGCTTTTAGTTATTGCGTAACACCACACGCCTGTAAGTAACAGAGTCCTATCCAGACAACTCGGTGAGTGATATTGTAACAAATGATCAATTTCTGCAGAGTACGGGGATTCAGCAGATCACTGACCATCTGACATTGAGTGCAGCCCATGTTACCGGGGACCCACGCTGGCCGACGAGAATCTGCTTCTTATCTCGCTCTATTGAATAAGATTTTAAAACTTACTGATACTTTTGTTTCTTCAATATTTGTGACAAAAAAAATCAAAATGAACTTACATTGATTTCAACAAGATAACATATCCTCGTAGAAGGAGCCTGACACTTGATTCTGACGGTTGGGCTCCGTCATAGTATCGTAAAGGTGTATTGGGCACTGGGGTTGTGTATGGGGCACTGGGGTTGTGTATTGGGCACTGGGGTTGTGCATTGGGCACTGGGGTTGTGTATTGGGCACTGGGGTTGTGTATGGGGCACTGGGGTTGTGTATTGGGCACTGGGGTTGTGTATTGGGCACTGGGGTTGTGTATTGGGCACTGGGGTTGTGCATTGGGCACTGGGGTTGTGTATTGGGCACTGGGGTTGTGTATTGGGCACTGTGGTTGTGTATTGGGCACTGGGGTTGTGTATGGGGCACTGGGGTTGTGTATTGGGCACTGGGGTTGTGCATTGGGCACTGGGGTTGTGTATTGGGCACTGGGGTTGTGTATTGGGCACTGGGGTTGTGTATGGGGCACTGGGGTTGTGTATTGGGCACTGGGGTTGTGCATTGGGCACTGGGGTTGTGTATTGGGCACTGGGGTTGTGTATTGGGCACTGGGGTTGTGTATGGGGCACTGGGGTTGTGCATTGGGCACTGGGGTTGTGTATTGGGCACTGGGGTTGTGCATTGGGCACTGGGGTTGTGTATTGGGCACTGGGGTTGTGTATGGGGCACTGGGGTTGTGCATTGGGCACTGGGGTTGTGTATTGGGCACTGGGGTTGTGCATTGGGCACTGGGGTTGTGTATTGGGCACTGGGGTTGTGTATGGGGCACTGGGGTTGTGCATTGGGCACTGGGGTTGTGTATTGGGCACTGGGGTTGTGCATTGGGCACTGGGGTTGTGTATTGGGCACTGGGGTTGTGTATTGGGCACTGGGGTTGTGCATTGGGCACTGGGGTTGTGTATTGGGCACTGGGGTTGTGTATTGGGCACTGGGGTTGTGTATTGGGCACTGGGGTTGTGTATTGGGCACTGGGGTTGTGTATTGGGCACTGGGGTTGTGTGTTGGGCACTGGTGTTGTGTATGGGGCACTGGGGTTGGTGTCGTATGCGTACCTCTTTGATAAAATATTGACTTCTTGACAACCGTTGAATAGCTGAGGGGACAGGAGGCAGAATTTGAAGATCTGTATTGTGAAAGGTTTGGGTTGAATAATTTTGTTATCATCACTGAACCTAATGACTTTTGCCGCTTGCTGACAGGCTAAGTCACTGCAATGATTCCATTGTATAGATGGAAGTGGCCGAAATCCATGTGGTGACGTATCCCGCACTGGCCAAAACACAAGACAGGGCGGATCCATCACTAATGTTTGTTTTTGGTGGGTTTTTTTGGTGTTTTACGCCGCACTCAGCAATATTCCAGCTTTATGACGGCGGTCTGTAAATAATCAAGTCTGGACCAGACAATCTTGTGATTATCATCATGAACATCGGTCCAGGCATTTGGGATCGATGACATGCATCAACTAAGTCAGCGAGCCTGACCACCCGATCCCGTTAGTCGCCTCTTACGACAAGCATAGTCGCCTTTTAAGGCAAGTATGGGTTGCTGAAGACCTATTCTACTCTGGATCTTCATGGGGCCCATCACTGATGATTCCAGTATTTGAGTGTGCTTTTTCCTTCCTATGACCTTTGAAAACGAGAATATTTTGTTCTTTATATTAATTTTAAAATACTCATAACTAATGTATCGTAAAGATGTTGTATGGTTTAGTTGAGATCAAGGCTGATGCAATGTCAGAGTCATATACTGATGGTTATTCTTGAAACTGTCGATTTATAAATAGGAAACCGATCACGATAATATAATGAGTTTAGCAATATTCCAGCAATAATTATCACTGCGTGTGACAGCAGAAATGGACGTCACACATTGAGGCTCCTAGTTTTAACTAACACTTTTTTGGTATAGGGCTGTAAGTGTAAGTTCAGTTGCCTTGGGTCTGGAGACAAACTAGGAAGATATGCTTCCGCTGAAATCTGGAAAGAATTATTCAATGACCTATGAAGGAACCGACGCAGCAGCTGTGTTTGTTAAGTTTCAGCTTAGCAAAGATAAAAATGATCAAACCCTTGTTACATTTGTGTTTTTTTAAAAATATGTTTCAACAAAGATATCTACTATTAAAATCACACTGATATAACAAGATCCATGTCACCACACGAAGGAACCTGCCTTAAAAATTTCACCTTTGTCAGTCTCAGGAGACTAAGAGCATGGACATCATGGGGAGGTGTTCTCACTGTAGACAGACATATTTATGTTTTAAGCACGTAAGAACACCTCTAAAATAGGTTGTTCATTATTTATTAGGTCACATGTCATCATCCGCTCAGTGTGTGGTTATCTAAAAGCCCATAAGAAGACTTTTTATAGTAAAGTTTTTAGATTAATATGCTTCAATTTTATCACGTGACTCGAAACATTCCACAAGTGCATTGTGGGGCCAATCTAACATATAAACATGGCCGAAGTTCGGTGTCGCTGGTTTTATTGTGAGTGGAGGTGTTTTCTGTTGTACATGTTGCAGCTTTGATTCCGCCACTGATGTTAGCAGACTGCAGCAACTGCAAGTAAGGACATAGTCAATGAACTAGTTGTAATACATCTGAGCCAGCACCTCGTGATAAAGCCATAGCCGAGGAACACATCCGAAGTTTACAGTGGACATATGCTATGCAGATTTACACTGATGGATCTGAGTGCCCAGTGTCAGGTGGTTGTCAGTGTCAGGTGGTTGTCAGTGTCAGGTGGTTGTCAGCGTCAGGTGGTTGTCAGTGTCAGGTGGTTGTCAGCGTCAGGTGGTTGTCAGGGTCAGGTGGTTGTCAGTGTCAGGTGGTTGTCAGTGTCAGGTGGTTGTCAGTGTCAGGTGGTTGTCAGTGGCAGGTGGTTGTCAGCGTCAGGTGGTTGTCAGTGTCAGGTAGTCGTCAGTGTCAGGTGGTTGTCAGTGTCAGGTGGTTGTCAGTGTCAGGTGGTTGTCAGTGTCAGGTTGTTGTCAGCGTCAGGTGGTTGTCAGTGTCAGGTAGTCGTCAGTGTCAGGTGGTTGTCAGTGTCAGGTGGTTGTCAGTGTCAGGTGGTTGTCAGTGTCAGGTGGTTGTCAGTGTCAGGTGGTTGTCAATGTCAGGTGGTTGTCAGTGTCAGGTTGTTGTCAGCGTCAGGTGGTTGTCAGTGTCAGGAGGTTGTCAATGTCAGGTGGTTGTCAGTGTCAGGTTGTTGTCAGCGTCAGGTGGTTGTCAGTGTCAGGTGGTTGTCAGTGTCAGGTGGTTGTCAGTGTCAGGTAGTCGTCAGTGTCAGGTGGTTGTCAGTGTCAGGTGGTTGTCAGTGTCAGGTGGTTGTCAGTGTCAGGTGGTTGTCAGTGTCAGGTGGTTGTCAATGTCAGGTGGTTGTCAGTGTCAGGTGGTTGTCAGCGTCAGGTGGTTGTCAGTGTCAGGTGGTTGTCAGTGTCAGGTGGTTGTCAGTGTCAGGTGGTTGTCAGTGTCAGGTGGTTGTCAGCGTCAGGTGGTTGTCAGTGTCAGGTGGTTGTCAGTGTCAGGTAGTCGTCAGTGTCAGGTGGTTGTCAGTGTCAGGTGGTTGTCAGCGTCAGGTGGTTGTCAGTGTCAGGTGGTTGTCAGTGTCAGGTGGTTGTCAGCGTCAGGTGGTTGTCAGTGTCAGGTAGTCGTCAGTGTCAGGTGGTTGTCAGTGTCAGGTGGTTGTCAGCGTCAGGTGGTTGTCAGTGTCAGGTGGTTGTCAGCGTCAGGTGGTTGTCAGTGTCAGGTGGTTGTCAGCGTCAGGTGGTTGTCAGTGTCAGGTGGTTGTAGAGCATAGAGAACCTTCTATCCGATTGGCTGAGCACTTGTCAGTATTTTCTGCTGAACTTGGAGTAAACATTAAACATTGTGTGGGATTCATATTTTAAGGCCTGTGTCAGCGGTACGTTTCAGTGACTGTCAGTGCTTTACAAGCAATTCGGGTCAGTTCTTCCTCAGCGAGACAGGACTTGATCACCATTTTTCTCGACCTTTGTAATGACTTAAGAAAAGATCTGTTAGATGTTGAGTTTTCATGGACCACTGCGTATGTTGGACCACTTGGAAATGAGAAGGCTGAAGAATTGGCTGAAGCTGCATTAGACTTTGATGAGTCAGAACAGGAGGAGACAATTTAACCTTCTCCTGCAGAGTTAGGCACCATCAGTATGGCCCATGCTGGCACAAAATGGCAGCAGAGATGGGCATCATCCTTAAAAGAACGTCATCTCTTTGGCAGCGAACCTTTTATTACAAAATTACAAATATCTAGAAACAATCGGAGAGAGGAGGTTCTCTTAACCACAATTCGTCTTGGGCATTGTGGTCTTGGTATTAATAAAAACATTTCTGCACATTGTACAGTGTGTTATCAGCTTGACATTGTCGCTCATTATTTACTGCATTGCCAAAAGTATGTCAGTCAGCGTAAGGCAATGGTGGATTCTTTTACATTTTCTAGGAATATCGTTCGCCATCAAGTTAGGAATGTCATTCTTGCTTATATAAAAGCGTGTGGCAGTTTTACTGCTTTATACATAGGCACTTAGCAAACCGGGGACACGGGTGGCCCAGTCGTCTAAGGCGCCGCAATTCGCTGTGCAGAGTTGCGTCCCTTGGGCACGCCAGAAACTTGTGGTTGTGGGTTCGAATCCCGGTTCGCCCAAATTATGTTTCTAGGTTTGTCACGCCGCGATATAACGGGAATACTGTTAAAAGCGGCGTTAAACCCAACTCACTCTCACTAAATAAACCTTTATTATGGGCAAGGTGTAAATGGGCCTAGTTGCCCGACCACCTATAAAACTTTGAATGATGAATCAATCAAGCAATGAAATTGTGTGCTGACCGAGTTTGCTGCGCATCATAGACCGTGACCCGTGCTGCGCATCATCTACCGTGACCCGTGCTGCGCAACATCTACAATGCGTGACCCGTACACCGACGTGATATGGCGTCGGCGTGAGACGACCATGGCGGAGGGAGACCAACAGCGGCCGTTTTGTTTCACTGCAGTATATTGTTTTATGCCGTACGCTGACCAACAGGTGTACATGTGGTTATCAAACTGTTCAAGGATTGCTCATTCCTTTGTCCTGAGAGACATACATAATTCGTAAGGCAAGAACGCCCTCCTCGGACAAATCTGAGGCCGCTGTTGCACTGACGCAATGGCAAGAGAAATAGATATATAATCTTGCCATATATCTTCCTAGATAGAAATATTCAAATATTCGAAAAGTTTAAAGAAGATCTTTCACAAATAATTGATGTGGATGCGCCATCTTGTTTGACAGCAATGAAAGAACGATGTTACCAAGGATGCGTTAGATCACGGGGGAGATAATGAGGACAGCGCCATGAGGCTAGTCCATTATGACGTCACTCAAAAAGTGTGTTTTATCGCAGAATAAAGTACAGTCGGCGCCTTTCATCTTTTATGGAAGCATCTTAGAATATTAGATACTAATTGATTACATGTGTACAGTTGCCGTGTGAAGAGCTATGAGCATAGGACAAAACTGTGTCGGGAAATTGAAAACTTACAACTCTCAAAACTTGCAAAAACAGAACAAGCCCCATTCACGGCCACATTGCCATTTCTTGAGAGCCCCGAGAAGTCATAAAGGTGAGGTGAACTGGGATTTAACGTCGCGTCCAAGATTATTGCACTAGTATAGCGCCGTGCGTGTGTGCGTGCGTGCGTATGTGGCTGCTTGTACTCGTCCGGACCAATTCCGATTTCATTGTGCTAGCCCACTGAGATGCAATGCCGCAGTTTATCATGAATACCCCTACTCAGACATACAGTGTACTGACTCCGAGCCGACCTATTTTATCCCCTTAATCCCGAGCGCCAGGCATGGTTACAACAAGTACCATCATGTAACGTCTTTTGGTATGATATTCTTGGGGATCGAACCCCGGACCTTCCGCTACCCGGGCAGACGCTCTATCCAATAGACCACGGGGGCGGGCATATACACTGAAGATGAAAGTCAACGTCTGTTTTTTTCAACCGACCCTACCTACAATGTTGAGCACTACCCGAAGTGGTATTATACTCAGAGGCAAAAGTTATTGTGACATGGAATTGTTTCATTGGCAACCTTGTGAATGAACATTTGAATTTGAACCAGGGAGAGGGTGTGTTAACATGATCGGAGAAAGGTAACCAAGCAACTGTTGATCGTGACCAGCCCCTGAAGCATTTGTCTTTCCGTGTGATAACATTTCATTCGCGGCAGTGAAAGTTTGACACTGATTCTGTTTGTTGTTTCTGTGTCACAGTAACTTTGGCCTTTGACTTATAGATTCCTCCTGCATATATCCTAAATACAAATATGCCCTACGTATCAACAGCTGCCGCTATTGCAGCTGGCGCTCAATCATCACATCTCTCCGCTGTCGAGTGCTTGTCCATCGATTACCGCTGATTCCGCGCTGGTGTAGAACTGGTCATTTTATGTGTGATTCCAACAATAGTAACGCGTTGTGTTTGTTCACATGGTAAATTGATAATTATAATTTTTAATATAATTTACATAAAAACCACTATCCAGGATGGAGAGAACACACTAACTAGTCGAACAAAATATATTATCTGCATAGTTTTACAAAATTTATACGAAAACATGTATGAATGGGGAAATCAAAGGTTTTCCACCAAACCAAAGAAAGTTATTTCATTGCTGTCATGTCTGGAGGGAACATACGTTTATGAAACAATTTCAGTAGACTACAATTAGCCAGTAGATAGATTTGGACATCCACACTGACTATCAGACTGTTTCCACTCACTGACAATAAGAATAGGTTTTATATATTTTTTAAATATTTATCACAATAGGCTTTGAATTATGAGACTGGAGAGGGCCCCGCTCCACAGAGCGATCTTCGCGCCATGACAGTCGTAAGTCTATATTAAAGTCTTAGCGCCATGACAGTCGTAAGTCTATGTTAAAGTCTTCGCGCCATGACAGTCGTAAGTCTATGTTAAAGTCTTAGCGCCATGACAGTCGTAAGTCTATATTAAAGTCTTAGCGCCATGACAGTCGTAAGTCTATATTAAAGTCTTAGCGCCATGACAGTCGTAAGTCTATGTTAAAGTCTTAGCGCCATGACAGTCGTAAGTCTATATTAAAGTCTTAGCGCCATGACAGTCGTAAGTCTATATTAAAGTCTTCGCGCCATGACAGTCGTAAGTCTATATTAAAGTCTTAGCGCCATGACAGTCGTAAGTCTATATTAAAGTCTTAGCGCCATGACAGTCGTAAGTCTATATTAAAGTCTTCGCGCCATGACAGTCGTAAGTCTATATTAAAGTCTTCGCGCCATGACAGTCGTAAGTCTATATTAAAGTCTTAGCGCCATGACAGTCGTAAGTCTATATTAAAGTCTTAGCGCCATGACAGTCGTAAGTCTATATTAAAGTCTAAGCGCCATGACAGTCGTAAGTCTATATTAAAGTCTTAGCGCCATGACAGTCGTAAGTCTATATTAAAGTCTAAGCGCCATGACAGTCGTAAGTCTATATTAAAGTCTTAGCGCCATGACAGTCGTAAGTCTATATTAAAGTCTTAGCGCCATGACAGTCGTAAGTCTATATTAAAGTCTTAGCGCCATGACAGTCGTAAGTCTATATTAAAGTCTTAGCGCCATGACAGTCGTAAGTCTATATTAAAGTCTTAGCGCCATGACAGTCGTAAGTCTATATTAAAGTCTTAGTGTCATGACAGTTGTAAGTCTATATTAAAGTCTTAGCGCCATGACAGTCGTAAGTCTATGTTAAAGTCTTAGCGCCATGACAGTCGTAAGTCTATATTAAAGTCTTAGTGCCATGACAGTTGTAAGTCTATGTTAAAGTCTTAGCGCCATGACAGTCGTAAGTCTATATTAAAGTCTTAGTGCCATGACAGTTGTAAGTCTATGTTAAAGTCTTAGTGCCATGACAGTTGTAAGTCTATGTTAAAGTCTTAGCGCCATGACAGTCGTAAGTCTATATTAAAGTCTTAGTGCCATGACAGTTGTAAGTCTATGTTAAAGTCTTAGCGCCATGACAGTTGTAAGTCTATGTTAAAGTCTTAGTGCCATGACAGTTGTAAGTCTATATTAAAGTCTTAGTGCCATGACAGTTGTAAGTCTATGTTAAAGTCTTAGCGCCATGACAGTCGTAAGTCTATATTAAAGTCTTAGTGCCATGACAGTTGTAAGTCTATGTTAAAGTCTTAGCACCATGACAGTCGTAAGTCTATATTAAAGTCTTAGTGCCATGACAGTTGTAAGTCTATGTTAAAGTCTTAGCGCCATGACAGTCGTAAGTCTATATTAAAGTCTTAGTGCCATGACAGTTGTAAGTCTATATTAAAGTCTTAGTGCCATGACAGTTGTAAGTCTATGTTAAAGTCTTAGCGCCATGACAGTCGTAAGTCTATATTAAAGTCTTAGTGCCATGACAGTTGTAAGTCTATGTTAAAGTCTTAGCGCCATGACAGTTGTAAGTCTATATTAAAGTCTTAGTGCCATGACAGTTGTAAGTCTATATTAAAGTCTTAGTGCCATGACAGTCGTAAGTCTATGTTAAAGTCTTAGCGCCATGACAGTTGTAAGTCTATATTAAAGTCTTAGCGCCATGACAGTCGTAAGTCTATATTAAAGTCTTAGTGCCATGACAGTCGGAAGTCTATATTAAAGTCTTAGCACTAGGATCGCTGACTGTAACGAGGCCTGGATTATTACAATCATTGAAACATTTGAGACACTAAGGTGAAAAGGGTGAAACAGTTGATTATATTATACACAACGACAGGAGTATTAAAGTCTTAGCGCTTTCCAGTACTTAGTACTACTAATTTTAGTTCGTTATAACCGTAGTTCGTTAAAAGCATATATACAGTATAACTACAGCAAATAGTCGGGACCAAAAAAGTAAGTTCGTTATATCCGTCAGTACGTTGTGAGCGTGTTCGTTTTAACCGTAGTTTTCTGTATATATTTCCCAGGTACCGAGAGCACAGCGCCACAATGCAACAGTGCGTGTGACGTCATGCACGTGCTGGTTGATGAATCACGTGCTTCAGTGTCGCTCATTGCTGCCCACAGACGGAAAGGTGAGGTTGTACTGTTGTTGACATTTTCTCTCCAATTTTCTATACAGTGAGAAATATATCTAGCGGATTCCATTTTGTTGTTGTTGTTGTTTTTTTGGTTGTTTTTTTTTTTGGGGGGGGGGGGGGGGGGATTGAAAAGGTTTACATATTTTTCGCGTTGAGAACTTGTTGAACTGTTATCAAAGAATGTCAAGGACGTTTAGTGATTAATGTGAGGTGGCCTTGTGGTCAAAGCGTTCGCGCGTCACCCCGATGAGCCTGGTTTAATTCCCAACTCTTAGTGTGTCGACGTAAATGCCTGGAAATTGCTGAACACGTCTAGAAACACTCGCTCATCATTTTTGCTTAGGTTTCGTAAATTCAAAATATGAAACGACTGTGTATATGTAAAATGTCAATGTGTATTTATCTGTTATTTATCGTTGAAGGCAACAGTGTCACCAAGTATTGTGTTGCAGCATCACCATGACGGCGGTCTACTTGGCGATCATCTTTCTCGCGGTGAGTGGCGCCATCTTGTACCCATCTCCTGTTGTGTGTAGACCCAAGTCTGATCTCCAGCCAAACATGTCAGTTATTGTGAAAATAGATGACAACTCCTAGCGGATAGAAGTGATTATAGCGTGATGTAAAAAGATAAAATATAAAAACAAAAATAGTTTCTCTTTAAACATTTCGTCAGACCGATCTTTACAGAATGGGCAAAGTAACCTTTGCTTGTCGTTTGAGCAGAAGAAAAAGGGCGGGTGATTTTATCGTACCCCGGTGATGTTAAACGTTGATCATAATATCAGTCGTTCGTTTGTTTGGTTGGTTTTTTTAAGACGGCGGTCTAAATAATCGAGTCTGGTCTAGACAATCCAGTGATTGACATCATGAGCATCGATCCATGCAATTGGGATCGATGACATGCATCAACCAAGTCATCAGCCTGACCACCCGATCCCGTTATTTGTTTGAATTAGACTTTATTTATATTTTATAACGAAAGTTGGATATTATATCATGCTCTCCATCAAACACGTAAAGCACTACCTTGATATATTGCGATGTAGAAACACACATGTGCAGTGGCCGTTACATACAAGGTGATGTTTTTACATCTTTTTTTCCTGTAGGCGACTGCGCGGGCGGCAATACCCACAGGCTACATTATGCAGGGTAGGTATCGGTGTCGGTGTCAGTGTCTGCTAACAGTATACCGCTTTAAGACTCTGTAGGTAAATCGACCGCCCAGATGTCTGAAGCCAAAAGGTTTAAAAGGTGGTCCTGAAAAAAACCCAGTTCCGCTCCTGAAAACCTCTTCTTACAGGTCACTTTTTTTTAATTTCTGTAATTTAGTAGTCAAAGCCAAACATTTATGAAAACTGAAATCTGTTTAATATTTCTGCTGGCATGGGTGCTTGGCCTTTGGCGACGTAAGGCATCGCCAAGTTGTCAGCACCATGCCCACTTCATCTCTTTACACCGACCTCACGCTGCCAGGCTGTGATGTAACTGAAGCCCTGTAGCATTAAACCAACTGTCTCCCCAGTGACCCCCGACTGCGGCTCCACCGATGTCGGTGACGGCGTCATCACCATCATATCCGACCTCAGCGTCAAGGCCAGAGCCGTGTGTGCCGGCAACAAGAAGTTTGACTTCACCACACTGGACGGCGTCAGCCACGTCCTCCCCTTCTCCTACCCCACAGGAGGATCACACCCCTGCGTCTTCAATGTGAGTCTCGCTCTCCTATCCAACAGAAGGGTCAGCCCCTGTGCCTTCAATATGAGCCCCCAACCCCCCACCCCCCGGCTCCTACCTCACAGAATCGAACCCCTGCGTCTTCAATGTGGGTCCCATCCCCCCCCCCCCCCCCCCCCCCTGCGTCTTCTGCGTACTTTACCCCAACCACCAACTTCTACCTCTTTAGAGTTTTAAGCAGTCGTCTAACGTGCAGAGTTGCGTGCCAAAAACGTGTGGTCGTGGGTTCGAATCCCGGTTCACCCAGTTTGTCTTGGTTTGTCAGCACCATAATATTCTTGTGGGTTTCACCAAAATGGTAAACGTCAAACACCTGCATTACTTCTGGCTTTCCTCCCACGAGCAGACACGCCTTGATATACTAGTAACTGAAATATTGCTCGGTGACTATAAACTCACTCACTCACTCTGTAGTCGTGGGCCACGTTTGTAACAGCTGCGATCTATCTGTCACCCAGAAGAGGCAGCACACGCGAATCTTCTCCGCCAGGGTGCTGGTGTCCTACGGGCTGTTCGGAAGCCAGGTGCATCATGGGCTGGAAGAGTACATTGTCACGTGCACATTCAGCCCTTCTGGGGAGGACATCAGCAAGATCAGCAAGATCACCCAGTCGTGAGTAATACTTTCTGGGTCTTCAGCAACCCATGCTTGCCGTGAAAGTCGATTATGCTTGTCGTAAGAGGCGACTAACCAGATCGAGTGGTCAGGCACGCTGACTTGGTTGACGCATGTCATCGTATCCCAATAACGTGGATCAATGATCATATCAATCACTGGATTGTCTGGTCCAGACTCGATTATTTACAGACCGCTCGAAAAACTTTCAGCAAGATCAGTCGTAATTCCTTCAGCAAGATCAGTCGTATTACTTTCAGCAACATCAGTCGTCACTAATACTTTCAGCAAGATCAGTCGCGAGTAAGTTTCAGCAAGGTCAGTCGTAATCCTTTAAGCAAGGTCAGTCGTAATCCTTTTAGCAAGGTCAGTCGTAATACTTTCAGCAAGATCAGTCGTCAGTAATACTTTCAGCAAGGTCAGTCGTAAAACTTTAAGCAAGGTCAATCGTAATACTTTCAGCAAGATCAGTCGTAATACTTTCAGCAGGATCAGTCGTCAGTAATACTTTCAGCAAGATCAGTCGTAATACTTTCAGCAAGATTAGTACTTTCAGCAAGATCAGTCGTAATACTTTCAGCAAGATCAGTCGTAATACTTTCAGCAAGATCAGTCGTCAGTAATACTTTCAGCAAGATCAGTCGTAATACTTCCAGCAAGGTCAGTCGTCAGTAATACTTCCAGCAAGATCAGTCGTAATACTTTCAGCAAGATCAGTCGTCAGTAATACTTCCAGCAAGATCAGTCGTAATACTTTCAGCAAGATCAGTCGTAATACTTTTCAGCAAGATCAGTCGTCAGTTATACTTCCAGCAAGATCAGTCGTAATACTTTTCAGCAAGATCAGTCGTCAGTAATACTTTCAGCAAGATCAGTCGTCAGTAATACTTTCAGCAAGATCAGTCGTCAGTAATACTTCCAGCAAGATCAGTCGTAATACTTTCAGCAAGATCGGTCGTCAGTAATACTTTCAGCAAGATCAGTCGTCAGTAATACTTTCAGCAAGATCAGTCGTCAGTAATACTTTCAGCAAGATCAGTCGTAATACTTCCAGCAAGATCGGTCGTCAGTAATACTTTCAGCAAGATCAGTCGTCAGTAATACTTTCAGCAAGATCAGTCGTAATACTTCCAGCAAGATCGGTCGTCAGTAATACTTTCAGCAAGATCAGTCGTAGTACTTTCAGCAAGATCAGTCGTCAGTAATACTTTCAGCAAGATCAGTCGTAATACTTTCAGCAAGATCGGTCGTGGGTAATACCTTCAGCAAGATCAGTCGTAATACCTTCAGCAAGATCAGTCGTAATACTTCCAGCAAGATCAGTCGTCAGTAATCCTTTCAGCAAGATCAGTCGTAATACTTTCAGCAAGATCGGTCGTGGGTAATACCTTCAGCAAGATCAGTCGTAATACCTTCAGCAAGATCAGTCGTAATACTTTCACCAAGATTGGTCTTGGGTAATATTTTCAGCAATAATTCCTGTTGGTCCGTTCAGTTTCTTGAGAGAGTAGAGGGGCACGGGTGGCCCAGACGCCTCAGGCTCCGCAATTCGCTGTGCAGAGTTGCGTTCCTTAGTCACGCCAGAAACCTATGATTGTGGGATGGAATCCCGGTTCGCCCCGATTGTTTTAGGGTTGTCGGCACCATACCCATGCTCCAGGGTTTCACCAACGTGATGAACGTCCGAGACCTGCATCACTTAGCACTGGCCTTCCACACTGAGCTGACACGCCGTGATATAACTGTAATATTGTTCACAACCCCCCACACAACCCACTCGCTCAAACCTTCAATAGTAAATTGACCGTCTCCGTGGTCTAGTGGATACAGGGTTTGCTTGAGGAGCGCAAGGTCGGGAGTTCGATCCCCGGCCGCGTCATACCAAAACACGTTAACAGATGGTACTTGTTACACTGCCTAGCGCCCGGCATTAAGGGGATTAAAAAAGGACTGGCCTACTCGGAGTCGGGGTACTGTGTCTGAGTTTGGCATCAATATTAAACTGTTGCAAAGTATCTAATTGGGCTAGCACTGTCAAATCGGCAATAGTCCGGACACGCACGCACGCACACACATGCACATACGCTGTCTAAGCGCGGTAACCTTGAACGCGACGTTAAACCCCATTTTACCTCGCTTTAAGAGTAAATATATATTAAGGTTCATTATCTATCGATATTGTTGCTGGCCACTTATTGCATGGCTGAGTATGTGGACCAAGTTCTTAATATCAGGTCAAGGGGCGGTGGGGTAGCCTAGTGGTGAAAGCATTCGCTCGTCACGCCGAAGACCCGGGTTCGCTTCTCCAAATTGGATCAATGTGTGAAGCCCATTGCAGGTGTCCCCCGCCGTGATATTGATGGAATATTGCTAAAAGCGGCGTAAAACCAAACCAATTTCAGGTCAAACGCGTCACAAGTCCACATTCTATCTCGTCTCAGATTTAAGTTCAGTTTTCCTGTGGCTTGGCTGTCTCACATACCTTGCCGCCATCCATTGAGTTTGACTGTGACCTTGACCTTCAGACTCCTAGCAGCCAATGCGATCCACAGCTACGTGGGAGGCGACACAAGCTCCACCATCATCCTCAAGATGGTGGACGTCCTCGGCCACAACCTCAACGGAAGGAGCGTGGACCTGGGCAGGACGGTGCAGCTCAAGGCCGTCAATACAGGTATCGTCACATCAGCTAGTTCCTCACACAGGTACCTACACAACCTTTACCAGGGTGACAGAACCTACACTACACAACCGTTACCAGGGTGACAGAAGTAGGATTGAGGTAATCTGCCCTGTCACACGGACATATAGGTCATGACATATTTGTCATGGGCTTGAAGAGGCCTTCCGTTTGAATGTGGCTATAATCATGCAACCATGAAAACTATTTTCTGTTTAGATTTGAATACTTTAATGGCGTAATTACATTCTGACAATGAAATAAATTACGAATTTCCTAATAACTCTGAAATCAGGCTTAAATGTCTTGATTGGTTTAGTCAAGTTTGTGTGAACCATGGACTTGTCACTCTCAATATAAATTACTTGTTCACTTGGAATCATGCTCAATGCGTCCCGCAAACCACCCTCCAGTTCCTGTATAACACTGATACTCACTCTCCAACTGAACTGATGTTGACCTAGGGACGGAGCCCGGTATACGACCAGTCTCCTGCGACGCCATCGACAGCTCTAGGGCGCGATACTCCATCCTCAGAGCCGGGTAAATATTGCAGCACTTGTACACTAACTCGGCTTGTCACTATTCCTGGACCACCTGAACAAGTCCAGCCATGTATCCCGGGCCATGTATCCCGGGCCATGTATCCCGGGCCATGTATCCCAGGTCATGTATCCCGGGCCATGTATCCCGGGCCATGTGGGTTTGGGGTGTCTGTCTTTCCATCACAGGAGTCGACCAGTAGGTCCACAACAATGTCATTAACAGCCTGGCTCAGTGTAGCGCCAGCGCAGCATACCCAGAGAACCAGGCTGTTATATTCGGGGTTCTTGACATACACCCACATAAGTATAGTACAGCAATGGCTGGGCGGCATCTCAAAATCTTCCTCCGCCAACCCCCGAGTTGCGGTCCCGAGGGTCAAGTCCCGACTAACAGAGCATACTGTCAGACTGCCAGCTATCGTGATACTTCACGTGTGTGGTCCGCCTGCCAGCTATCGTGATACGTCACGTGTGTGGTCCGCCTGCCAGCTATCGTGATACGTCACGCGTGTGGTCCGCCTGCAAGCTACCGTGATACGTCACGTGTGTGGTCCGCCTACCAGCTATCGTGATACGTCACGTGTATGGTTCCCCTGCAAGCTATCGTGATACGTCACGTGTATGGTTCCCCTGCAAGCTATCGTGATACGTCACGTGTATGGTTCCCCTGCCAGCTATCGTGATATGTCACGTGCGTAGTCCGCCTGCCAGCTATCGTGATACGTCACGTGTGTGGTCCGCCTGCCAGCTATCGTGATACGTCACGTGTATGGTCCGCCTGCCAGCTATCGTGATACGTCACGTGTGTGGTTCCCCTGCCAGCTATCGTGATACGTCACGTGTGTGGTCCGCCTGCCAGCTATCGTGATACGTCACGTGTGTGGTCCGCCTACCAGCTATCGTGATACGTCACGTGTGTGGTCCGCCTGCAGTATCCAGTATCTCATGCAGAATGTTAAGCTTCAGTGGCCAACCCGCTATTCTTTATAACATTAGACCCGTGAAGATCCGGGGTAGAACAGGTCTTCCGCAAACCATGCTTGTCGTGAAAGGCGACTTGGTTGATGCATGTCATCATATCCCAATTGCGTGGGTCGATGTTCAAGGTGCCACAAGCCTTCATCTTTTGCAATTTAGTACCTATATCGGGTGATTTTTATCGAAATATTAGCTCCGTCGCGGCTGTGGGTCACGGAAGTAAACAAATCTCCGCGCTCAATGGCGTCGAGTGCTCTGATTGGTAAATATCCCCATTAGCGTTTGTTATTGTTCGAGCGCGGACCAATCACAGCACTCGACGCCATCTCACCACCTTAAATCCGACAGCCCGTATTATGAAATGTTACACCTGCTTTAAACAATCCCCCCCCCCCCCCCCCCCCCCCGACTTATTCAAGTGTGTACACCACGGTGTTCAGGTGCGGGGACGGGATCGTGTTCCCCAAGACTGTGGGCTTCAGGACCACGGGCAAGAGGACCCGCAGCCCCTACTTCCAGGCCTTCACCATCAACGTGGACCCCATCCTCAAGTTTGAGTGCAACTTCACCGTGTGCGGCACGGAGTGTGACGGGGTAGGTGTACACCAGTGGTATGTCCTGACAAGTCGGTCTGTCATACAGTCAATGCACGTCTATATTGATGGGCAGATTTAATTATACTGCAGTATCTGAAAATTATTAAAGTCGCTTGTCTCCTTTATATTTTATTTTATTAAGATACTGTTTCTGTGAGATATGTTCATTTTAGAGACTAGATGTTAATCTACATAAGTGTACAACCAACGGTATATCGTGGGAGGTGTGGGGCTGTCGGGTAACCTAGTGGTTAAAGCGTTCGCTCGTCACGCCGAAAACCCGGGTTCGATTCCCGACATGGGTACAATGTGTGAAGGCCATTTCTGGTGTCCCCCGCCGTGATATTGCTGGAATATTGCGAAAAGCGGCATAACCCCACACTCACTCACTCACTCACTCACTCGTGGTAGGTGTACAACCAATAGTATATTACAGGGGTTCTATTTTGGCGAAAATATTTACAGCACGGCACTCTTTAGACATGGAGAATCTGTATGCATGCAGTGTTAACAGACCCGGTAAAACCTGAGCACTGCCCCAAACGGCGCTAGAGTAAACTCTGTATGTAGTGGAGTCGCTGTAGTAGAGTCGCTGTAGAAGAGTCGCTGTAGTAGAGTCGCTGTAGTAGAGTCGCTGTAGTAGAGTCGCTGTAGTAGAGTCGCTGTAGTAGAGTCGCTGTAGTAGAGTCGCTGTAGTAGAGTCGCTGTAGTGAGCTGTAGCACTAACTGAGCTGATGTATTTCCAGGACTCCTGCAAGTCCGCCCCGCCGCCTGGACGACAGAAGAGAGGTAGGTCACCCCTCCAACATGCAATAAACCCACCCGTTTTGGTTAAATAGTAGTCCATGATTAAAGCGGCGTAAAATTGTATCCATGCTCCTATTTTGATAGATCAGTTAAATAGTCCCAGCAACTCGACAAGATCAAGAATGTAGGTTTATGCATGACCTTGGACCACCATTACTCGGACGGAGTGGGGCGCTGTTCAGGCCAGACTACTTTACACTATCATATTCTCCTGCATGTTTTATCCCCTATGTTTTATCATCTTCTATGTTTTATCCACCGTGCATGTTTTATCCCCTATGTTTTATCATCTTCTATGTTTTATCCGCCTTGCATGTTTTATCCCCTATGTTTTATCATCTTCTATGTTTTATCCACCTTGCATGTTTTATCCCCTATGTTTTATCATCTTCTATGTTTTATCCGCCTTGCATGTTTTATCCCCTATGTTTTATCATCTTCTATGTTTTATCCGCCTTGCATGTTTTATCCCCTATGTTTTATCATCTTCTATGTTTTATCCGCCTTGCATGTTTTATCCTCATGTTTTATCATCTTCTATGTTTTATCCGCCTTGCATGTTTTATCCTCATGTTTTATCATCTTCTGTGTTTTATCCGCCTTGCATGTTTTATCCTCATGTTTTATCATCTTCTGTTTTATCCGCCTTGCATGTTTTATCCCCTATATTTTATCCTCTTCTATGTTTTATCCGCCTTGCATGTTTTATCCCTGTTTTATCATCTGTTTTATCCGCCTTGCATGTTTTATCCTCATGTTTTATCATCTTCTATGTTTTATCCGCCTTGCATGTTTTATCCCCTGTTTTATTCTCTTCTATGTTTTATCCGCCTTGCATGTTTTATCCCCTATGTTTTATCATGTTCTATGTTTTATCCGCCTTGCATGTTTTATCCCCTATGTTTTATCATCTTCTATGTTTTATCCGCCTTGCATGTTTTATCATCTTCTATGTTTTATCCGCCTTGCATGTTTTATCCCCTATATTTTATCCTCTTCTGTGTTTTATCCGCCTTGCATGTTTTATCCCCTATGTTTTATCATGTTCTATGTTTTATCCGCCTTGCATGTTTTATCCCCTATGTTTTATCATGTTCTATGTTTTATCCGCCTTGCATGTTTTATCCCCTATGTTTTATCATGTTCTATGTTTTATCCGCCTTGCATGTTTTATCCCCTATGTTTTATCATCTTCTATGTTTTATCCGCCTTGCATGTTTTATCATCTTCTATGTTTTATCTGCCTTGCATGTTTTATCCCCTATATTTTATCCTCTTCTGTGTTTTATCCGCCTTGCATGTTTTATCCCCTATGTTTTATCATCTTCTGTTTTATCCGCCTTGCATGTTTTATCCCCTATGTTTTATCATGTTTTATCCGCCTTGCATGTTTTATCCCCTATGTTTTATCATCTTCTATGTTTTATCCCCTATCACATGTTTTATCTCCTCAGGCTTAGCCTCCGACAGCTACAGTGTGGCCGCTACGGGTGCCGTCGCCATTATCAACACCGCCCCGGACAAGTCGTGGGTCGGCGAAACACGCGTGGACCAGTCCTAGAGAAAGAAACAAAAACTGGTTGTGGAGTTTTAATAAATACTCACATACTTTAGTCTGTGTCTGTTAGCTTAACTGTAACAAAACCAGCTTTTTCTGGCAAGGTTGGCAGTTCTCGACTCCCTACAACTGAGGCATTACATTAGCTATGCTCAGATGTCGATTGCAACTTAAAGTCGCCGTATTGATAATTGTCACAATAATTACCGCTGCTACCAAACCATTTTCGAGATTTTACGTGCGCTTTCCGTCAATATGCGTATCTCGCACACGGTCGTTGCTACCATTGTTCAGTGTGTTTATACTGTTGTGGTTTATACTGTGTTGTGGTTTATACTGTGTTGTGGTTTATACTGTTGTGGTTTCATGTTGTGATCTCTCCATGGCTTCACTAACAGAAAAGCCCATGCAGATCCGGGGTAGAAAAAAGGCGACTAACGGGATCGGGTGGTCAGGCTCGCTGACTTGGTTGATGCATGTCATCGTATCCCAATTGCGTGGACCGATGTTCATGACATCAATCACTGGATTGTCTGGTCCAGATTCGATTATTTACAGACCGCCATCATATAGCTGGAATATTGCGGAGTGTGGCGTTAAGCAAATAACATTACTGAAAGATATCACCTGTGTATGTGCTGGTCTTGGGTACGTGTGCACGTGACATCTGTTCCGTGGGGACGTCCCAGTTGCCGACCTGCACAGCCCACTGATCGAGTGAGTGACGTCCCAGTTGCCGACCTGCACAGCCCACTGATCGAGTGAGTGACGTCCCAGGTACAGACCTGCACAGCCCACTGATCGAGTGAGTGACGTCCCAGGTACAGACCTGCACAGCCCACTGATCGAGTGAGTGACGTCCCAGGTACAGACCTGCACAGCCCACTGATCGAGTGAGTGACGTCCCAGTTGCCGACCTGCACAGCCCACTGATCGAGTGAGTGACGTCCCAGTTGCCGACCTGCACAGCCCACTGATCGAGTGAGTGACGTCCCAGGTACCGACCTGCACAGCCCACTGATCGAGTGAGTGACGTCCCAGGTACCGACCTGCACAGCCCACTGATCGAGTGAGTGACGTCCCAGGTACCGACCTGCACAGCCCACTGATGGAGTGAGTGACGTCCCAGGTACCGACCTGCACAGCCCACTGATCGAGTGAGTGACGTCCCAGGTACCGACCTGCACAGCCCACTGATCGAGTGAGTGACGTCCCAGGTACCGACCTGCACAGCCCACTGATCGAGTGAGTGACGTCCCAGGTACCGACCTGCACAGCCCACTGATGGAGTGAGTGACGTCCCAGGTACCGACCTGCACAGCCCACTGATCGAGTGAGTGACGTCCCAGGTACCGACCTGCACAGCCCACTGATCGAGTGAGTGACGTCCCAGGTACCGACCTGCACAGCCCACTGATCGAGTGAGTGACGTCCCAGGTACCGACCTGCACAGCCCACTGATGGAGTGAGTGACGTCCCAGGTACCGACCTGCACAGCCCACTGATCGAGTGAGTGACGTCCCAGGTACCGACCTGCACAGCCCACTGATGGAGTGAGTGACGTCCCAGGTACCGACCTGCACAGCCCACTGATCGAGTGAGTGACGTCCCAGGTACCGACCTGCACAGCCCACTGATCGAGTGAGTGACGTCCCAGGTACCGACCTGCACAGCCCACTGATGGAGTGAGTGACGTCCCAGGTGCCGACCTGCACAGCCCACTGATCGAGTGAGTGACGTCCCAGGTACCGACCTGCACAGCCCACTGATCGAGTGAGTGACGTCCCAGGTACCGACCTGCACAGCCCACTGATGGAGTGAGTGACGTCCCAGGTGCCGACCTGCACAGCCCCCTGATGGAGTGAGTGACGTCCCAGGTACCGACCTGCACAGCCCACTGATCGAGTGAGTGACGTCCCAGGTACCGACCTGCACAGCCCACTGATGGAGTGAGCCACATATAGCAATAGTCCTGCCCTATCACGACCCGTACACGCTGAATGGGCTATAAACATTACCGTATGTAATGAGAGGCGAGACACCGGTCCTACTTGGTTTCTGATTGGTGAATAATACTGGTGGATTTTTATCAAATGTGGGACATCTCTATATACTACTCAAAAGAAGTCGAGGACCACCCATTACTATAGTTAATGTATGTCCTCTAGTACACGCCGGGCGTCTATTAATCTCGCACAAGGCGTGTATTGGAGGTCCGGCATCTATTCTGTGTAATGCTAGCAGCGGCAACTCACTTCCAATCCCAAATTCTAGTCACAAATTAGGTACATTTGCAGGAAACAGTCCTTATTAATCACCAACCTATCCCACAGCATTAATTCATTTTAGAGGTCCAGCTTCTATTTGTTTTTGGACAGAGCGTATGACTCGGATGTCTGACGTCTAATGGAGGAAATGTGGTAATCTTTTAATAGCCATCTTCCCGTGGCAATGTTAACTGACAATAAGTCTTTTTTCCACCCTTGCCGAACTAGCTTGGAACTATGGAGATCAGATTGGCTGGACTAGCGAGTCAATGCATAGTCCAATCGAAATTCCGTAACGATATCGACATCTGGTTCATAAACATAGCAACAGCCCTGTCAAATTCGTTCGATTGCATATTTTCAATCAATGTGCTCAAGTGATCTGATGCATTTCGCGAGGTTAAGTCCGTTCTATTACAATAAGCTTTATTTTCGACGAGATCGTCTTGACTGGGCGCCGCCATTTTGTTTCAAGCAAATGCAAGTGATGATAGGTGGACACTGGTCAGTAGGGAGTACAAGCTCCTCACAGCGATAATACGTTCCCGGAGCTCTCTATACTATCGCTGCCACCAGTCAAAACTCCCCACTGTGAATAGGTGGCCACAACCATGCTTGGAGTTGAACTCGCAACCGAATAACCGTTATGTTTACAAACAAGTGACGACTGTCGTGACGCCGAATACACTTGTCGCTGCTAAATTACTTTCTTCGTTTGTCACTTTGAATCTCTGTTTCATTAAAACTATCGTGTTATTGACATAGTTAGAATGTAAGGGAGAAGTTGGTTGATTTTCCGTTAGTCTGCAATCTCGAACCAATCTGATTATCAAAACAACAAAGTAAATTCATCTCGAAAACATGGTCAGTCGTAAACCTTTTCAAATTGAAATATGATGGCATTCCCAAAGACATAAACAAAAGTATAAACGTTACTACATATGGGGTTGGAGGGCAAATTTCAAGATTCTTGTAATGGCCGCGCCCACACTGGTGGCAGCGATGTTACCGAGAGTGTAACGAAGGTGTCACGCGCTGGGAAGGAGCTTGTAGGGAGTACATAAAAGGACATAACTCGTAATAGCCCCTGGTGGCGCTACGATCAAACCCAGAAATTACAGCCCAGTTCGGCATGGGGGAATAGTCAACTTTTCCGGGCGCACTTTTTCTGACCCAATTAGTGCTGTGGGGACTCGAACGCGGTTCCCCGTCTCAACGGCTTGGCTGTTGGAGGGCGAAGTTGGTTCCGGTAAACGTCATTGTTGCCGACTGGTCCTCCGTGGACTGCAATATCACGTAGAACATACTGGTAGAGAATATATTGCTAGTCGGGTTTAACGTCGCCTTGTCGGCCCGGGGAGCGGAAGGTCGGGGGATCGAGCCCCGGCCACGTCATACCAGAAGACGGTAAAATAGGCATGTGTTACCTTTCCGGCGCTACTGTTTGAGTGGTGTATCAATGTTAAAGTGCGACATGGTATCTGTGCCAGCACCATAAACCCGGGGGGGGAGGTTACATATTTTACTGTACCCGTGGAGATCTGGGGTGGAATAGGTCGTCAGCAACCCATGCTTGCTGTAAGAGGCGACTAACGGGATCGGGTGGTCAATCTCGCTGACTTGTTTGATGCATGTCATCGATGCCATTTGCGTGGATCGATGCTCATGGTGTCAATGACTGGATTGACCAATAACGAAAAGTGTGGGCATGTAGTACAAATGCTTGTGAACATAAAAATGCTGCAAAATGTATTTATTCAAACATGTAAAATAATTAAGGCAGCTTCTGTGCATCAATCAAAAGTCGGGCGCAAACTGGGAGCAGTACTGCCATAAACTTCACCCACCCCACCCATTATTTAGCGTAACCGAATCCTTGCACCGCTACATGGATCTATCGAATTGTTCATTGACCCAGACGATAAGTGCGGTTATACGAGTTTCTTTGCGCTCGGGAAAGTGACGATCGTGAGAACGGCTGAGAAGTTTTGCTTGGGCCTAATATCCGTATTTCTTCACTTGATTCGAGCTCCTTTTTCCCAAAATCCGTAGGAACTACAGGGAAATCGAAGGAGTTAACGGGCCTGCGCATGTCTTATTTGAAGACCAGACAAGCCAGTGATCAATATTGTGTACAACGATCCCAGCCGAGCCCAGGAAAGTGTGAGACGACTTAGCCAAATCACTGAGTTCACCTCTCACAAAGATAGTTTGTACCATACTTAATCTAGTATAAACCTAGTGGTTCAAGTATTGGGTGCTCAGGCAGGTGACTTAGTTGACCGTTGCTCATAACATCAATCACTGGTTTGTCTGGTCCAAACTCAGTCATTCTACACTCATTCAACTAGTGTCAACATTCTGTGAGCACTTTTTAGAGAAACCATAGCCAGGATCATTCATGCAAATATTCAGCTTCTAAGGCCGTTTGTAGTCTGAGAAGATGTCGAAAATGTGAAAGTTAATAAGACCACTATCAATGTGTCTTAGCATAAGTTGGTTTGATGTTTAACTCCGCACTCAGCAATATTCCAGCTATATGACGGCGGTCGGTAAATAATCGAGTCTGGACCAGACAATCCAGTGATTAATATCATGAGCATCGATCCACGCAAGTGGATAATACCTGTATTCATTCACTGGTTCTTGATGAACATTGAACATTTCCTTGGGCGTAAACAGCAAAATAGAGATGAAATTATACTTTAAAAAACGTAGGGGATCCTCGTGATTTATTCTCTATTATTGCCCGATAAACAACCCCCTCTCACCTTTATTTCTTAAACAACTATTACCAGAAACTAATATCTCTTACAACTTTGGAAATCTTAAGTAATTTCCGAGTATTACCTAGCGTTTTAAAGTAATATAACGTGAATGGATTACTGAACGGCATTCCAGGAGGTCTCTTCAGAAGCAGTCTGGTGTAGCAGGTATAACAAACATCTGTACTATGTAAAGAAACAGCAAAGGCATTTTGACTTTATTTGTTTCTGTTCATGACTTGATTAATGTTAACATAGATGAACAGGCATAACAGAAACAGAGTTCAAAGTTCAGTCAGAACGTGTCATACATAGGGTTTGTGGCTCACCTCCTGTGCTAGGTATTTAATCTGTTTAATACATAGTTACTTTCACATTTCCAACCAGCAACCACAGGCAACGAGCCACACACAGAAGACAAGCCTTGCATAATAGTTATTTACATTCTTGGGTTGACACGCAGTGATGCTGACACATTACAACACACCATACTAGTGCCACACAGTAGGTTCAACCATGTCCTGTGGCTGCTTGTTGAAGCACATGTACCAGAAGCACATGTACCAGCATCACTACCAGCATCACAACCGTATCAGAACACGTCACATTTCTGCATTCTACGGAATGTCAGGTTTCTGCATTCAAACAACATCCTCATGAGACTTGATGAGGCAGAGGGACTTCCCCATGTGTTGAAGCTGGTTCTGGCGAGATGCAAGCAGTAACGTATACGCTGCCTCTCTCTCACCCAGTAACAAGCCTCCAGTGTGTGTTGTAGATGCTCATGTCCACGGTGCCGTCCACGTTGCCGTTCACTTGTTTCTGGCTGACAGTTCATCCAAGAAAGCTGACAGTTGGTCTGTGACAGTTTCTGGCTCATCATCTTCATCGTCCTCATCTTCCTCTTCCTCCTCCTCCTCTTCGTGATCTACAACAATCAAAACTCCATCAGTAACTCTTGCTATCTGCCATGCTGACCAGCAACCTGCAGTCAGACATCCAAACAACACATGCTGAGATCACATACTTACAGTCAGACATCCCTAGCTGCTCGGCCACACTGAGGTCACATGCTTAGTCAGACATCCTGAGGTGCCTGACCACACTGAGGTCACATACTTACAGTCAGACATCCTGAGCTGCTCGACCACACTAAGGTCACATACTTACAGTCAGACATCCTGAGGTGCCTGACCACACTGAGGTCACATACTTACAGTCAGACATCCTGAGCTGCTCGACCACACTGAGGTCACATATTAAAGTCAGACATCCTGAGGTGCTCGGCCACACTGAGGTCACATACACTCAGACATCCTGAGCTGCTCGACCACACTGAGGTCACACACTAACAGTCAGACATCCTGAGCTGCCTGACCACACTGAGGTCACATACACTCAGACATCCTGAGCTGCTCGACCACACTGAGGTCACATACACTCAGACATCCTGAGCTGCTCGACCACACTGAGGTCACACACTTACAGTCAGACATCCTGAGCTGCCTGACCACACTGAGGTCACATACACTCAGACATCCCAAGGTGCCTGACCACACTGAGGTCACACACTAACAGTCAGACATCCCGAGCTGCCTGACCACACTGAGATCACACACTTACAGTCAGACATCCCGAGGTGCTCGGCCACACTGAGATCACATACTTACAGTCAGACATCCCGAGGTGCTCGGCCACACTGAGGTCAAATACTTACAGTCAGACATCCCGAGCTGCTCGGCCACACTGAGATCACACACCTACAGTCAGACATCCCGAGCTGCTCGGCCACACTGAGATCACATACTTACAGTCAGACATCCTGAGGTGCTCGGCCACACTGAGGTCACACACTTACAGTCAGACATCCCGAGCTGCTCGACCACACTGAGGTCACACACTTACAGTCAGATATCCCGAGGTGCTCGGCCACACTGAGATCACATACAGTCAGACATCCCGAGGTGCTAAGCCACACTGAGATCACACACTTACAGTCAGACATCCCGAGCTGCCTGGCCACACTGAGGTCACACACTTACAGTCAGACATCCCGAGCTGCTCGACCACACTGAGATCACACACTTACAGTCAGACATCCCGAGGTGCTTGGCTACACTGAGGTCACATACTTACAGTCGGACATCCCGAGCTGCCTGACCACACTGAGATCACACACATACAGTCAGACATCCTGAGGTGCCTGGCCACGATGAGGTCACATACAGTCAGATATCCCAAGGTGCCTGACCACACTGAGGTCACATACTTACAGTCAGACATCCTGAGGTGCCTGGCCACACTGAGGTCACACACTTACAGTCAGACATCCCGAGGTCCCTGGCCACACTGAGATCACACACTTACAGTCAGACTTCTAAACAACATATGCTGAGGTCACATACAGTCAGACATCCTGAGGTGCCTGGCCACACTGAGGTCACACACTTACAGTCACACACTTACAGTCAGACATCCCGAGGTGCCCCGTCACACTGAGGTCCAGCGCCTCCTGATACTTCTCCTCAAGCTGGGCCAACTCCGACTGTTGAAGGAAGTTAGTGAAGGTCAAGGTCACTCAAGGGCAATAACAAGGAAGATATTGGGAAGGAAGGACAACGACAACCCACTCAACATTTGTCAATGACGTGTCACATCCCCCAACAAATTACAGCAAGTCAAGTTAAACCACGTATGAGCACAGACCAAGGCATCTGGGAGAGACTGGGTGCCGTCTCATCACACTGATCTTGCCTCATCTGAATGTCAATAAACACAATCCCAGATAAAACAACCTTTTCTACAATGTTCAAATTCTATAACAGTGACAGCATCACCCTGGGAAGAAAACCACATCGACCCGTGAATAGTGTTGTGTGCACGACTTGCACATATACCACTTGTGTCATGCATAGGAATATTCATAAATGTTTAAATTTATTTTCATTTCATCCACGCAATTGGGAAATGATGACATGTATCAACCAAGTCAGCGAGACTGACCACCCGATCCCGTTAGTCGCCTTTCACGACAAGCATGCTGAAGACTATTCTTACCCAGATCTTCACAGGTCGATGATGATGTTGATGATGATAATGATGATGATGCATACCTGGATTTCCTGTTTCACCGGTCCCTTGCTGTCGTCTGTCTGGTCGGTGTGCTGGGACATGGTGCTGGACGTCGGACGGTTCTGGAGACGCAGCATGCTGATCAGGGCAAGCTCCTCCACCTACAGCACACAACGGGGTGGGTGAGTGAGTGGATGGTTTGTGAGTGAGTGGACGGTTGGTGAGTGAGTGGATGGTGGGTGAGTGAGTGGATGGTTGGTGAGTGAGTGGATGGGTGGTGAGTGAGTGGATGGGTGGTGAGTGAGTGGATGGTTGGTGAGTGAGTGGATGGTTGGTGAGTGAGTGGATGGTTGGTGAGTGAGTGGGTGAGTGAGTGGATGGTGGGTGAGTGAGTGGATGGTGGGTGAGTGAGTGGATGGTGGGTGAGTGAGTGGATGGTGGGTGAGTGAGTGGATGGCGGGTGAGTGAGTGGGTGAGTGAGTGGATGGGTGGTGAATGGGTGGTGAGTGAGTGGATGGGTGGTGAGTGAGTGGATGGTGGGTGAGTGAGTGGATGGTGGGTGAGTGAGTGGATGGGTGGTGAGTGAGTGGATGGTGAGGGAGTTGGTAGGTGTGAATGGTTGAGTTAGTGTTATGGGAGGATGTGTGTGTGTGGTGGTGGGGTGGGGGGGGTGTTAGTGAAAGCCACCCATCAACCTCGCCTGGCATATGACTGACACATGATGTTAACAGCCATGGACATGTTGTCAGACAGCCTCAGAAAACTGGCATCTGGTGGTGGTATTAGTCCTGTTTTCAGAGAGGTTTAGGTTCATCTGCCCTTCTACCTATCAGAAGCAATACCTCTGCGAGATGTGCAGCAGTAGCCATGGTAACTGTTGACGATACCTTATGTCAAGAAAGAAACAAAAATGTTTGAATGAAAACAGTTACTTGTGTTTATTTAATCACTCGTATGGATAGTAGTACATACAATATGAGCATTCTACATGTATAACACTGACAGGCTAAATTCACCAGCCCAGGTACAGCCACTCAACATCAGGTGTTGGAAAGAAATACACAACAGTTATTGTAAACTGGTAATTACATGTTCATTGTTCGATCTAGTTCCACATTCCTTTAACGCTCCTGTGACAGATCGGCTCCACTGAACACCCTTGTGTTTCCTTCCATCATGAGAGATCGGCTCCACTAAACACCCTTGTGTTTCCTTCCATCCTGAGAGATCGGCTCCACTGAACACCCTTGTGTTTCCTTCCATCCCGAGAGATCGGCTCCACTGAACACCCTTGTGTTTCCTTCCATCCCGACAGATCGGCTCCACTAAACACCCTTGTGTTTCCTTCCATCCGAGAGATCGGCTCCACTGATCACCCTTGTGTTTCCTTCCATCCCGAGAGATCGGCTCCACTGAACACCCTTGTGTTTCCTTCCATCCCGACAGATCGGCTCCACTAAACACCCTTGTGTTTCCTTCCATCCCGACAGATCGGCTCCACTGAACACCCTTGTGTTTCCTTCCATCCCGAGAGATCGGCTCCACTGATCACCCTTGTGTTTCCTTCCATCCCAAGAGATTGGCTCCACTGAACACCCTTGTGTTTCCTTCTATCCTGAGAGATCGGCTCCACTAAACACCCTTGTGTTTCCTTCCATCCTGTGAGATCGGCTCCACTGATCACCCTTGTGTTTCCTTCCATCCCGAGAGATTGGCTCCACTGAACACCCTTGTGTTTCCTTCCATTCCCAGAGATCGGCTCCACTAAACACCCTTGTGTTTCCTTCCATCCCGAGAGATCGGCTCCACTGAACACCCTTGTGTTTCCTTCCATCCCGAGAGATTGGCTCCACTGAACACTCTTGTGTTTCCTTCCATCCCGAGAGATCAGCTCCACTGAACACCCTTGTGTTTCCTTCCATCATGAGGGATCGGCTCCACTAAACACCCTTGTGTTTCCTTCCATCCCGAGAGATCGGCTCCACTGAACACCCTTGTGTTTCCTTCCATCCCGAGAGATCGGCTCCACTGAACACCCTTGTGTTTCCTTCTATCCCGAGAGATCGGCTCCACTGATCACCCTTGTGTTTCCTTCCATCATGAGAGATCGGCTCCACTAAACACCCTTGTGTTTCCTTCCATTCCCAGAGATCGGCTCCACTGAACACCCTTGTGTTTTCTTCCATCCCGAGAGATCGGCTCCACTAAACACCCTTGTGTTTCCTTCCATCCCGAGAGATCGGTTCCACTGAACACCCTTGTGTTTCCTTCCATTCCCAGAGATCGGCTTCACTGAACACCCTTGTGTTTCCTTCCATCATGAGAGATCGGCTCCACTGAACACCCTTGTGTTTCCTTCCATCCCGAGAGATCGGCTCCACTGAACACCCTTGTGTTTCCTTCCATCCTGAGAGATCGGCTCCACTGATCACCCTTGTGTTTCCTTCCATCACGAGAGATTAGCTCCACTGAACACCCTTGTGTTTCCTTCCATCATGAGAGATCGGCTCCACTGATCACCCTTGTGTTTCCTTCCATCACGAGAGATCAGCTCCACTGAACACCCTTGTGTTTCCTTCCATCATGAGAGATCGGCTCCACTGAACACCCTTGTGTTTCCTTCCATCCCGAGAGATCGGCTCCACTGATCACCCTTGTGTTTCCTTCCATCACGAGAGATTGGCTCCACTGAACACCCTTGTGTTTCCTTCCATCATGAGAGATCGGCTCCACTGATCACCCTTGTGTTTCCTTCCATCACGAGAGATCAGCTCCACTGAACACCCTTGTGTTTCCTTCCATCATGAGAGATCGGCTCCACTGAACACCCTTGTGTTTCCTTCCATCATGAGAGATCGGCTCCACTGAACACCCTTGTGTTTCCCTCCATCCCAAAAGATCGGCTCCACTGAACACCCTTGTGTTTCCCTCCATCCCTAGTTTCCTTGTGCAGGTGATGTCTAGATTACATGGCAGCAGCACCTCCAGCTACACGTAGAAACAAGTCCACTTTTAACTCCCACATTCTGAGTTTGGCCCAATACATGTAGTAGTAGGAGACCATGTGGTTTGTCCTTACAATGTCCTCTAGTTTGTCACACAGGAGTAAGGAAGCACACAACTGAGGATGTTGAACATTTTTTCTCATTTCGATCTCAAATGATCTCACAAGTAGGCCAAAATTGTTGAATACTTCTTGAACTTTTGGGGTAAGAACTGAAAACTATGGAAACTATGGAAACTAGGTGTGGGCCATTGTCTGAACGCAAAGAGTCATTCATGGGTTCAAAGGGTACAGTTGATATTGACTTTACATATTTAGAGCATCCTACATGTCTGCATCCGTCGACAAGGAATCTGGTGTGTTTGCTGCGCGGAGGAATCTGGTGTGTTTGCTGCGCGGAGGAAACTGGTGTGTTTGCTGCGCGGAGGAATCTGGCCGGTCTGCTGAAGAGGGAGGGGTGCTTCAGCTTCTGACAGCTGCAGAGTCTCAAGATGTTCGTGAGCTGAAATGAAAATAGTAAGGATGTACATACTCAAGTGATACACATTGCTGGATACTACACAGGCAGATCCAGAGGGGGGGCAGGGGGGCCTTTTGAAAACCAAATGTAGTTTGTTGTGGGCAGTCAAATTTTCTGAGAGAGGATTTTGATATTTTGGACCACTCCCTTTAAAAATTCTGGATCCACCCTTGTAATATAACCCCAATGTCAGAGTTTGGGCTCCAAAGTACATGATATATATATATATAATGCAGAAATCCTTTGCATCATGTTATTTGCTAAGGTATCCAGTGCAAAATGAAGTTAATGGTGACCTGAGATACATTGGACTAGACAATCCAGTGATTGATATCATGGGCATCAATCCACTCAATTGGGATACGGTGACATGATCAACCAAGGTCAGCGAGTCTGACCACCCGATCCTGCTAGTCAGCTCTTACGACAAGCATATTTGCCTTTTATGGCAAGCATGGGTTGCTGAAGACCTATTCTAACCTGGATCTTCAGGGGTCTGAGATACATTGATACAAACCAACATCCTTGTGACCAAACAACACATATTGAAAGAAATGACACATTTATTTTGACAGTAAGCCTTTGTCTTGTGTACTTGACAATCTCACATGATAAACACTTAAGCAAGGCTAATGAGGTATCTTTGTATCTGTAACAGTAACAAATTGCAAGACTGATCTGTGAAGTCACATCGAGGTCGTCACACGAGACAACAGTCATTCACGTATATTGACGAAAACAGTTTCCTGTATTTCAATAACATGCGACTACCAGCATAAAACTGTTTTACTGACAATATACAAAGTCTGTGTAAATTTATGATCAACTGTATTATTTAACAAAATGTGTTAGAATTTGTTTTCGTAAATCTTGAAGTTATATCAAAACTTTACTTAAAGTAACAAGTTACAGATTGTCATACCACATGGCGTCCGTCGATTGAATAACGTGAACACTTACCTCTAATATCTGATCTGTTGTGTTTCTGGGCAACATGACCACGGAAGCCCCCGGTACTCATGGATGTTTTGCCACATACTGGACGGCCAAATCTTGCTTTGTTGTTTTCCTTCTCGTGATGTTTAGGACCAGTGGTCGACGAGGCTTCGTCAAGACTGGACTGTCAGTGTTGTGTCACTGAAGCCATCGCGAGACAGTCGCTCAGTGTCACAAACTGCAGTCGATGCTGTGTGTTCAGACTTTGAAAAGGCAACATAAGCACACTCTCTACTTCTTCCTATGATCGAAATTAATATCATGTCTAGCCAGATATGTTAGCAACACTCTGTTACAACTGTTTTTTCTAAGTGTCTAAACTTTCTGTATGCAGTGTTGTGTGGATCTCTGTTCATACCAAAAAAAAATTGAACAAAATTGTAAAACGTAGCCATGTTAGCAGCCAAATTGAAGGTAGAGGTTGTGAGGATCTTCCATTTGTATCGAAGGACAACATTTTATCACATGCAAATAAAATTGATAATGACCCAAGTCACATATTTAATTAAAATCTATAAACTTTTACCATCGCAATACCGGTTTCAAATTCCATCACTAAGAACAAACAGCGACAAACGATCTTATATTCCAACCAGCATTTCTCTTAAATTGTCGAGAAAATGTAATATAGATGCCTTTAATGCTATTATTCTTGTTTTTAAATGTCTGCTTTAATGTATATTTCTTCACGTAAATTATTCTATTTATTCCTTTTAGATCTGGCATTTATATTTTTTACATTGTGCTTTGGACCTGTGAAGTTCCCGGGCGGAGAATGTCTGCAGCAACCCGTGCTGGCCATAAAAGGCGACAATGCTTGTCGTAAGAGATGACTATAACAGGATTGGGTGGTTAGGCTCGCTGACTTGTTTGGTGCATGTCATCCTATCTCAATTGGGTGGATAGATGCTCATGATGTCAATCACTCGATTGTCTGGTGCAGATAGCTTGAATATTGCTGACTGCGGTGTTAAACAACAAACAAAACATTGTGGTTTGAAACAGTTTTAGTACTTAGCATTGCTGTTATTTACATGTTACAGTGTGGTTTGAAACAGTTTTCGCGCAAAGAATTGCCGTCTCTTTGTTATATTGTGTATGCTACTTGTGAGTCTATGTGTGTGTCATGTATCTCTGTTATTGAATGTACCTGGGAACGTGAGGTCAATTCCCTCGTGGGTAAAAAAGTATTACCGTATCTTAATGATCGAATCACCGACACGGACCCACGAAAACTGGACCGTCTAGACATTTGACTGCATCTATGGAGACTGTCACTGAAAATAACGTGATATTTTCTACCTTCAGCCTGTTGAGCTGGTCGCTGAGTTTAGTGTGCAGGTTGACCAGTGACCGCTCCTCCTCCCTCAACATCTGCTGCTCCTTCACCGACATCTTCCTCTCCTAACACTAAAACAATTTTGAGTCGTCGCTGTGTCACACACTTTTCGAGACCGCGGTAGCGTACCGTGTTTATCGAGTAGTACAGCTCTTCGTATCGCGCGTATAACTCAGTTGGACTGTTATTCTATGTACGCTCGGCTAATACATGTGCGCAGTTACCTCTCTGTCGCCTGACCAAAAAAATGGCTTACATGGATGCGGTGAATTCGTAGACACCGCCAACTCCTAGACACAATTTACAGTTACATCAAAGACAAACCGGCAGTGAATTCGAAGACACAGTTTTTTAGGTATTGAAATTTTATGATTATAGTTATCCTATCATTATTATTATTATTATTATTTAGCGGCATACTGACCTCGGTTATGTTTATGAGTGTTTTCGATTGCATGAGCTTTTGTTTTAAAAAAGTGTAAAATAAAAGATATGGCTAGTATTTGTTTTTCTTTTGTAGGACGCTTTGTAAATAAATGATTATTCCGGTAAATGGTGAGTAGGGGATTGCGGTACGTTGTTTGGAAAGCATTAGCAGGAGCCTTTGTAAATATAGGTACACAGATCCAAGCAGAGAAGGACGACATAATAGGAATATTATTTATTGTCCTTTTAAACTTACGATTTGAGGTGAAATTGGGTTTAACGTCGTGTCCAAGTTTATTGCACTTATGCAGCGACGTGCATGCGCGCGCGCGTGTGTGTGTGTGTGTGTGTGTGTTTGTGGCTGCTTGTACTTGTCCGGACTGATACCGATTTATAGTGCTAGCCCACTGAGATACCATGCCGCAGTTTAACATGAATACCCTACTCAGACACACTATACTGACTCCGAGCCGAGCAGTCCTTGTTTTAGCCCCTTAATGCCGAGCGTCAGACATGGTAACAACAAGTACCATCTTTTAACGTCTTTTGGTATGACGCGGCCGGGAATCGAACCCCGGACCTTCCGCTCTCCGGGCGGACGCTCTACCACTAGACCACGAAGGCGTTCACTCACGATTTGAAATACATCTAACACATAATAATTCAATATCTGTATGTAATAAATCAATAGTTACGTCTATTTCCCTACTTTATGTCTTTAATCTACGAGTTCACCCTGTATTTTGTCTATGAGTTGGGAGTGTCTACGAATTCTCTATTGATCCGGGTTAGGCCTAGTTATGAGCATTCTGATGTGTATATTTAGAGGCTGAGAAGTTTGTACGAGGAGCGATCAATAAGTTTTGCTAAGGGTAAGTCTGGGCTGTAGGGTGGGTGATTTAACTGTACAGCCCAGACGTAGCCCCCAGTGACTATTTCCTGTTCCGGCAAATGAAATCTGCCCTACGTGGAAGACGCTTCCAGGATGACGAAGACATAAAGGCTGCCACAGAGGCGTCGTTAGAGGGCCAATCTGCGGATTTCTATAAAAGTGGTATTAAAAGCTTGAAGGACAAATGGAATAAGTGTATTGAGGTGAATGAAGATTATGTTGAAAAATATAAATTCATATTTTAGATAGTAGGGCCTACAATAATTCTAAATATCTTAAACGACCACTTAAATATAAAGAATTTATATTTTTCACACAGCTTCATACAATGGTTTTCACAACAGAATACTTTCACGACATCCAACACGTCCCTCCAACATCAGTCTGTGTGTAAAAGCTCAGGCAATTTTTTTTCAAGCATTTCCTGGTACACATTATTTAGTCATAAATATCCCAGCACTTTTATTGTCATCTTATTATATTACCATGGTTACACCTCTTATCTTACCCACAGTGCGTCTCTACATTTTCATTTCCCTATACGCCATACCATCATTCTCTCTCCGACTGTGGGAATAATGTTAAAAGCGGCGTTACACCCAACTCACTCACTCTCTCTCCAACTGTGGGAATAATGTTAAAAGCGGCGTTACACCCAACTCACTCACTCACTCTCTCTCCGACTATGGGAATAATGTTAAAAGCGGCGTTACACCCAACTCACTCACTCTCTCTCCGACTGTGGGAATAACGTTAAAAGCGGCGTTACACCCAACTCACTCACTCTCTCTCTCTCCTACTATGGGAATAATATTAAAAGCGGCGTTACACCCAACTCACTCACTCTCTCTCCGACTGTGGGAATAATATTAAAAGCGGCGTTACACCCAACTCACTCACTCACTCTCTCTCCGACTATGGGAATAATGTTAAAAGCGGCGTTACACCCAACTCACTCACTCTCTCTCCGACTGTGGGAATAACGTTAAAAGCGGCGTTACACCCAACTCACTCACTCACTCTCTCTCCGACTGTGGGAATAATGTTAAAAGCGGCGTTACACCCAACTCACTCACTCACTCTCTCTCCGACTGTGGGAATAACGTTAAAAGCGGCGTTACACCCAACTCACTCACTCACTCTCTCTCCGACTGTGGGAATAATGTTAAAAGCGGCGTTACACCCAACTCACTCACTCACTCTCTCTCCGACTGTGGGAATAATGTTAAAAGCGGCGTTACACCCAACTCACTCACTCACTCTCTCTCCGACTGTGGGAATAATGTTAAAAGCGGCGTTACACCCAACTCACTCACTCACTCTCTCTCCGACTATGGGAATAATGTTAAAAGCGGCGTTACACCCAACTCACTCACTCACTCTCCGACTATGGGAATAATGTTAAAAGCGGCGTTACACCCAACTCACTCACTCTCTCTCCGACTGTGGGAATAATGTTAAAAGCGGCGTTACACCCAACTCACTCACTCTCTCTCCGACTATGGGAATAACGTTAAAAGCGGCGTTACACCCAACTCACTCACTCTCTCTCCGACTATGGGAATAACGTTAAAAGCGGCGTTACACCCAACTCACTCACTCACTCTCTCTCCGACTGTGGGAATAATGTTAAAAGCGGCGTTACACCCAACTCACTCACTCACTCTCTCTCCGACTGTGGGAATAATGTTAAAAGCGGCGTTACACCCAACTCATTCACTCTCTCTCCGACTATGGGAATAATGTTAAAAGCGGCGTTACACCCAACTCACTCACTCTCTCTCCGACTGTGGGAATAACGTTAAAAGCGGCGTTACACCCAACTCACTCACTCTCTCTCTCTCCGACTGTGGGAATAATATTAAAAGCGGCGTTACACCCAACTCACTCACTCACTCTCCGACTGTGGGAATAACGTTAAAAGCGGCGTTACACCCAACTCACTCACTCACTCTCTCTCCGACTATGGGAATAATGTTAAAAGCGGCGTTACACCCAACTCACTCACTCACTCTCCGACTATGGGAATAATGTTAAAAGCGGCGTTACACCCAACTCACTCACTCTCTCTCCGACTGTGGGAATAATGTTAAAAGCGGCGTTACACCCAACTCACTCACTCTCTCTCCGACTATGGGAATAACGTTAAAAGCGGCGTTACACCCAACTCACTCACTCTCTCTCCGACTATGGGAATAACGTTAAAAGCGGCGTTACACCCAACTCACTCACTCACTCTCTCTCCGACTGTGGGAATAATGTTAAAAGCGGCGTTACACCCAACTCACTCACTCACTCTCTCTCCGACTGTGGGAATAATGTTAAAAGCGGCGTTACACCCAACTCATTCACTCTCTCTCCGACTATGGGAATAATGTTAAAAGCGGCGTTACACCCAACTCACTCACTCTCTCTCCGACTGTGGGAATAACGTTAAAAGCGGCGTTACACCCAACTCACTCACTCTCTCTCTCTCCGACTGTGGGAATAATATTAAAAGCGGCGTTACACCCAACTCACTCACTCACTCTCCGACTGTGGGAATAACGTTAAAAGCGGCGTTACACCCAACTCACTCACTCACTCTCTCTCCGACTATGGGAATAATGTTAAAAGCGGCGTTACACCCAACTCACTCACTCTCTCTCCGACTGTGGGAATAACGTTAAAAGCGGCGTTACACCCAACTCACTCACTCTCTCTCTCTCCGACTGTGGGAATAATATTAAAAGCGGCGTTACACCCAACTCACTCACTCACTCTCCGACTGTGGGAATAATGTTAAAAGCGGCGTTACACCCAACTCACTCACTCTCTCTCCGACTGTGGGAATAACGTTAAAAGCGGCGTTACACCCAACTCACTCACTCTCTCTCTCTCCTACTATGGGAATAATATTAAAAGCGGCGTTACACCCAACTCACTCACTCTCTCTCCGACTGTGGGAATAATATTAAAAGCGGCGTTACACCCAACTCCCTCACTCACTCTCCGACTGTGGGAATAATGTTAAAAGCGGCGTTACACCCAACCCACTCACTCACTCTCTCTCCGACTATGGGAATAATGTTAAAAGCGGCGTTACACCCAACTCACTCACTCTCTCTCCGACTGTGGGAATAATATTAAAAGCGGCGTTACACCCAACTCACTCACTCTCTCTCCGACTGTGGGAATAACGTTAAAAGCGGCGTTACACCCAACTCACTCACTCTCTCTCTCTCCTACTATGGGAATAATATTAAAAGCGGCGTTACACCCAACTCACTCACTCTCTCTCCGACTGTGGGAATAATATTAAAAGCGGCGTTACACCCAACTCACTCACTCACTCTCTCTCCGACTATGGGAATAATGTTAAAAGCGGCGTTACACCCAACTCACTCACTCTCTCTCCGACTGTGGGAATAATATTAAAAGCGGCGTTACACCCAACTCACTCACTCTCTCTCCGACTATGGGAATAATGTTAAAAGCGGCGTTACACCCAACTCACTCACTCACTCTCTTTCCGACTGTGGGAATAATGTTAAAAGCGGCGTTACACCCAACTCACTCACTCTCTTTCCGACTGTGGGAATAATGTTAAAAGCGGCGTTACACCCAACTCACTCACTCACTCTCTCTCCGACTGTGGGAATAATGTTAAAAGCGGCGTTACACCCAACTCACTCACTCTCCGACTATGGTCTCCATCCAAGGGTGAACATGTATTAAATGAACACGATGTCGTCTTGCTGTATCAATGCACCCACGTATCCGTACTGTCTACTGTATGCTGCTATAATTTAAGAAAATATGTATTTTATTAAATTATTATTAACATTACGTGTGT